TACCAATATAAGAGAAAAAAAACAAGCCAACTATACATGTAACTATCTGCAAAATTAAGCACTTGCCACTAATGTTTTATCTACCACGGGGGCAGATATGTATGAGATATATCCGAACGAACACGCTAAGCATAGCGTGTTTTCAGATAAGTCACAGAACACAACCGAAATCATGTGCAAATTGCAAACTACTCTAAGCAAATTGCGTTCTATCTTATCTAGGTCTATAGTAGATGTGCTTGCCAATTAATTCCATGTATAATTATTTCAAAAAAAAAAAACATGTATAATTAGAGAAAATTTTATTTTCATCCACTGTCGATTTTATGATTTATCACTTGACCCTTTATGTTTTCAAACTTGTCACTTAGACCTATTGTGCTTAAATAATTTATCATTTAACCTTGGTTTCAAATTTTTTTTTCGGTACAAGCGATTTCAAATTTTCACTTACACTCATTATGGTTACAAAAATATATCACTTAGACTCCTCGTAGTCTTATAAATATAAAATATTTACTTTTTCTAAATTTTATTTTATATAATTATGATATTATCAAATAAAATTAATAATTAAATATTAAAATAAAAAATAATTCAAGCTACTTATTTTGAAATTTTTATAAATTGTCTTAATTTTTTTATTTAAAAATTAAAAAAATATTATTTAAGAAAAATTAAATATTTATTATCAAAATAAGATATTTACTTTCTTTAAATAAATTTATAATGACATCGGATAAAAAATAGATAAAATAAAATAATATTTCATTTGAATTTAATTTTATGGTAAAAATAATTGAATTTTTTTTATTTACCTTAAATGCATTAGATGAGGATATAAAATAAAAAAAAGGAAAAATAAAAAGCACTATTCGATTTGACAAGTTTGAAACCGCATAGAATTAAATGATAAATTATTTGAGCATAAAAGACTTAAATGACAAGTTTAAAACTACAAAGAATTAAATGATAAATCGTAAAATCTCAATGGGTAAAAATAAAGTTTTCTAATATCAAAAAAAATAAATAAATAAATAAAGTTTTCCCTATAATTTAACTTGTATAACTTTAATTCTAACGTCTTCCAACATTTATTGTTGCATAACAACTAGATCCACCACACCAACACTATAATTAACAAAATGCTCAGCTTAAAACCAAATGCAGTTTACGGAAAAATAAATACATGAATGTATTTTTTAATTTTTTTTTTCTACCAACATATAAGTATTTGGCAGATGCCATAGATAATGCCTTTCACTAAATGGTATTTGGATAAGTATCAATTCCTACCAATAGAGTTGACTCTCTAAAAATATTTTAAAAATATGTAGCATTTATTTCGGTTATATATATATATTTTGGTTTGGGTACGGAGGGCTGAGGGGGCTGCACCGCATTTCGGTTATATATTATTTGGTACATTAGAAGAAAAATGAAATAATGATCATATTAGTATTAATTTTTTTTTTGGTACATTGCCAGGAGGTATCCTCATTCAACCTTCTCAAGGCACCATGTCCTCAGGGTACGGCCCGTTTGGGTTAGCCCCTCATTGTAACAGTGGGTGCACTAAGCTTCGCAACCAGAGAAAGGACGAGACTAATCCCCCAACCGAAGATTTTTTTGCTTATCCTCTAGCCCCCAAAGATTTTTCAAAAAACTGTTTGAGGCAGGGTTTGATCCCTGCACCAAGCAATCCCTTTGACACACATAATAAATTAAAATATTTTTATAGTAACCATTTATTATGACTTTAATTTAATTACATAAGTTGTGCTAATTTTTATTCTGAATAATCATAAACTCTGTTTATTATTGGATAACGGAACGATCATCGTCAAAATAGTTTTTTAAAATATATATTTAAAAATATATAAATAAAAAACTGTTATAAAACTTAAAACTACTGCACCGTAGATATACAGAAAATAAAGTCATATACTCATATCTATCTATAAAAAAGTTGAAATGCTTATTTTTAATTTGGTCCTTTGAACTCGAATAATATTGTTACCTGTATTATTCAAATCCTTGCACAAATTAACTTTAGTAAATAGTTTAAAGGGGAAGTTTATATTTACAAACTCTTATAAACTACACTATGTCCGACCAGTAAGACACTCTTGAATAGAGTGTTACTAGTTAGATATAGTATAGTTTGTAAGTTTGTAAAAAGAAGTTTGTCAATATAATCTTACTCTAGTTTAAAATATAAAACTTGTTTTATCTTATCGCGAAACAATTTTTCAAAAGTTTTAATAGTTTATATAAATACTTTTTGCGATCTATTAATCTCATGTTGCATGAGATAATTATCTCATGCAACAGAGATAAGATTGTGGGGTCACTATTTTAAAAAAAAAAAAAATAGTGAACCCTAATATTTTGTCTATGTTGCATGAGATAATTATCTCATGCAACATGAGACAATTATTTCCCATGCTTTTTTATTATATTTTTAAGTTCTAACACATACTTTGTGCAAAGATTCTTTTGAACTTTAACGAAGAATGCACAATCCATCTATTTGTGTTAAAAATTTAAAATTTCATAATTTAATAAGAGAATGAGAACGACAAGGATTCAGCTTTTTATATCACTCGATCATAAAGTCTCTAATACTATGTCATAAACCAACATACCATTTACCCCATAAATAAATAATTAGACAAACAAATGGTGCTAAAAGCAATTTTGTTTCTTAAAATTTCCATCAACTATCCAAACATATGCCCATTTAGTTTGCCAAAGAACATGGTATCAAAATATTGAGAAGAAAAATAATGTAAGCTTGTCTTATAGAACATTTTATGCCTGGAAATTTTTGGAGGACCTGACGATGATGACAGTTGCATGACTTGTTAGCTAGACGTATGATGAAAGTTGCATGTATTAATGTCGTTAACTATTTGTTGGGAAGTTGGGGGAGCTTATGAAGGGGACCATCGAAGGGGCTAATTAAGTAGGAATTTCATTACAATAAATTAACTTAGCACCACATTCCAATCTAAAACTTGTTTCATTTTGGTAGATACCAACCGATTTTTGAAGTGCTAATGGACTCGATTAATCCAGTTAATTTCGTGTTTGTCCCTCTCTATCCTCCCGCTTTAAGACATTAAATTTATGGATTCTCTTATTTATATGTTTCTTAAGTCCATTTTTAATTAATACAAGACTCCATTACTTACACTTGGATTCGAATTTTGATCGTAGGCAAGCCATGATTTGTGTTTAGCGAAGTAGTTTATATATTGCTTAACTTATATCGAAGGAGACACTTGAATAATAATGGTGGGGTAAATTGATTCGTGATCCGAATTCCAACTGGATTAAGATCTTGTACGTTGAAAACACAGAATGCTACAAGGGGCGGCTTATTTGTATTTTTCAAATGTCCATTTTATCGTTAGTTTTTGACAACAGTGATACCTTAATTAATTACTACTAATTAATGAAATAAATTACGCCGACCCAGCTTAAGTTTACGTATCGTATCTGACTCTTCATTGGTCAACATCTACCGCCTACCGGCCTGAGCCGGGTACATTCACCACTAGCTTCATAATTTACCAAACATGGCAAATTCTATGCACTGTGGCCACACTGCAAACTGATAAATAGCAGGCCTCACATTTATAACCTGTTTTCTTTTTTTATATTATCTATATTTTATGGGTTCTTCGTTTCTGCAAAAATAAAAAATAAAAAATTTTATAATAAAAATATTTATACTAGGATTCGCATATAAATCGTTGTATTAAAAAAAATAAACTCAGAATTCGGATCCACATGCAGATCTTAACTTTCTATGTGTTGCTGTAAAATTTTTCATCTGCAACAACAAAAAAAAGCATAAAAGCCATATTTTGTTATATTCAATATCACGTATAGCAATTTCCTTTTTCCTTGTCATCAATTTTGTGATCTTGATGAGGGTGTACTAACTAAATATCAATAATGATAATGAGTACATATTACTAACAAACCACTTAAAAAACGGGTGATAGTTTACCGGGGGAAAAAAAAAAAAACGTGTGATATATTATACATTACTATACACAAAACGTACACACTTTGCTCTAACTTTTTGAATTTAAATTTTTAGTTAGAAAAATTATTGAGAATTAATGAATTTTCTTTAATTGAATACACTAGATCTATACAAAAAGTTAATCCGAATCCGAAAATATTCACAAAATTCGGCCAAAAATATCCTTATAGTAAAAAATTGACCTATAAGAATATCTCTTTTGTTAATCTAAACTAGAGGTGACAAAGTGGGCGGTCTGACCAGCTCCTATCAACCTGCCAAAAAACGAGCCAGCCAAGTCCCGTCTCGTTTTTGAAAGTGGGTTGAAAAACTCAGCTTGCCCCGTTTGGCAGGTTGGCCCGCCAGCACGATCCTATTTTACACTGACCCGCTGCGACCTGTCTATGCCCGTCATCAATCCGCCAAAAAATGAGCCTGCTCCGCCCAGCCCTGCTTTTGAGATGGGTTAAAAAACTCAGCTGCCCCACTCCATCCCATTTAGCGGGTTAGCTCGTCGAGCCGAACCTATTTTATCGACTCTACTCATGTTTTACATGAGAAAATTTTTGGTAAACGATAATGACTGAATCGGTTTTTTTTTTTCTCCTCTAATCCTTTTGGAATACAAGAGTAATTTTTTTTTAGTTTGCTTTGAATTGAAGAGTTGATTTAGCATTTAGGATACGATTTAAAGATAAGTCCAAAAAGCGAAATATCAATGATGATTCGAATGAAAATGAAAAGGGACTTTGAATATTATTGAGATGATTTACGTTGACCAGACAAACAGCCACGCTTGACTTGTACGTGTCATTCGCTTCCCTCCCCGCGTTGGTTTTTTCTACTTAACACAAACTCACAATCTAACCCAAACCATAACCTTAACCACACACCTCAATTAATATAAAAACCCACTCCTTCTCTTCCCTTTTCATTCACAACTTTATTCATTTACATCTTTTTCTCTTTCTCTCTTTTTTTTAAATTTATATTCATCCTTTCAAATATTAGAATACAAACAAGTTTTTTAACAACAACTTTAGTACTCTCAAGTTCATATATCATTTTATGAATGATGGCTTCAACCTCAGACATCACCACCGTCCATCCTGACATCATTCACTCTCACATCCTCACTCGTCTCGACGGTCCCACCCTTGCCTCCGCCGCCGCCTCCTCCTCTCATCTCCGCCGCCTCTGCACCGAACACAATCTCTGGCGAAACATCTGCACCGACATGTGGCCTTCCCTTCACGACCCTCTTACCACCGCCCTCATCTCCACCTTCCCCGCCGCTCACCGTTCCATCTTCTCCGACTCCTTCCCTTCCCTCCATCATTCCTATTCCTCCCATCACCACCCGACGCCGTCGCCGACGGAGCTCGTCTCCGCCGTCGACCTCTACTATAAGGGAAAACCCGTCTTTTCCAGGGTCGTCCGAACGGAGACCAACAAGGGCTGGTTCCTCTGTTCACCGCTCTGGATCGAACTGGTTGACCCGAACGAGTTCGTCCCAACCACCGTGAAGTTCGCGCAAAACGGCGATGAAGAAGAGTGGCTCAAGCACCTCGAGGAGAATCTGAGCTTGAGCTGGATCATGATCGACCCGACCCGGAAGCGCGCCGGGAACTTATCAAGCCGGAGGCCGGCGGTGGTGCGGCGGCACTGGCTGACCGACGAGGTCGAGGTTCTATACGCGGTGGTGATGGGGGTTGTTCAGTGCTCCATTAAGGTCACGTGCTGCGGAAAAGTTGGGGGTGAGATGCACGTGAGGGAAGTTAGTCTAACGATGGAGGATATGGAAGGAAGGCATGTTGTCGGGAGGGATAGTATGGTAATTTTGCAAGAGGCGATGGAGAATGGGGAGAGGAAGAAAGTGGATGTAGAGGAAGCGAAGAAGAGTTTTGAGAAGTTTTGTTTGATGAAGAGAGAGATGAGAGAGAAGAAGATAAAGAGAGAGAAAGCATTGGACATGGTTGCTATGTTGGTCGCTTTCACTGTTTTCGCATTCCTCTTCTGTTTGGTCAGGTTTTGTGTTTGACAAAACAAAATCCAACTTAACTAATAAATCTTTGGTACTACTGTTGTACTAAAGATTCAGTATATCTCACTAATAAAAATTAAAATTCTGTTTTTTCTGTCAGATTTTTTTTCTCTCCTCTGATGTGTAATGTTCATTGATGAGATACACTGAATTTACGTATAGTACTAGTACTAAAGATTTATTCCAAGTTAAGACACTCCAATCATTCAATGTGTGTCTTAATCTTATAATTATTTATCCCAGTTCGTTAATTTAATTTTTATTTTTATTTTTATTTTGACCGATACAATGCTACTTGGCTCGGTTACAAATTCAATAAAATTATATGATGCACATCATATTTTCGCTAACAATCGATGAATTGTAAGAAAAATTAGTCATTTTTCCTTTGGTTGAGGTTCTGACTTTTAAGGGTGGAGCTAAGTCGGAAGATTAAGATAGAAAATAACGTGAAAATTAATAGTTTTGACTTTTGTGCATTAATTAGTCAAGTCCTGACACGACACTGATTTGATTTGAGCTATTCATCTATTTGTTTAGAAACCCAAACAAAACTAGATCATCGGTCAGACTCATGGGCCACATGCAACAATCAATAAATCAAACTCAAAGGAAGAGGCTGTTGCGTCACTGTCGAAAAAAATAATGACGTGGTCAAATTTAAATTATCCATCTTTATAAAATTTTCATTATTTATTAGTTTACTGTTTAAATTCTAATTTTATATACCTTTTGGAACTTGCTAAATTAAAATAAATAAAGAGAGGTAATGTAGGGGTCAGAATTCAGAAATCAGAAATAGCGAGAGAGGGAAGAGAGCGAGAGGGGAAGATAGAAAAGTGGGAGAATTCATTAATATTCTTTCCATGAATATGATTACAATCTCATTTTATATAAGCCTAGCTACGAAAACGTAATTGAAACTACTAAAATTATGCAGAACACAAGGATTGCTATTAAAAGGCTAAATCCTAGAGATAACAATCAAACAACTAACGCAAGATATCATTGCCATAGGGATAGCTATGCTAAATTGATCCACATGTAGGGGGTAATGTTGGGCCCTTACTAACTAGTCCAGAAATCAATTGGGCTTCCTTTGGATTCATTTGGGTCTGGATCCCTCAGCACCTCAGAAGCACAGACACGTGATTTTTAAAAAAATTTACATGTCGGACACCGTTACGTTTCGTTCGACACGTGGTTAATATTTTGGGATACGCAGTTAAAACTTTGACACGTTCTGACATATTTTTTTGACGCATAGTCAACTTTTTCTGACACGCGGTCAACGTTCCGACACGCATCCGACATTTTTTTTTTAGTCTTAATTTTATTTTATTAATTAAATATAAAAAATAATTTATAAATCAATTTTTTTCTGTTATGAAATTTGACAAAAAATTAACAAAGTGCGAATTTTTTTTTTATTTATATTATGAAATTTGAATATTTGATTGATTATATGACTTATTATGGACTCATGTATTAAATATAAATTATACTATATATATTAAATTTTTTATTTAATATCAAAATGTGTCCCAACATGTCAAAATATGACATTTTTTTAGAATTAACGTGTCGGCGTGTCTCGTGTCTAGGGGTGTTCATCAACCGATCCAAACCGATTTAAATCGCAGTAACTGAACCGAAAAACCGAAAATCGAACAAACCGGAAACCAAAAAAAAACCGCAACTTTTAATTGGATTGGATCAGTTTTCGGATTGCTTAATGAAAACCAATCCAATCTAAACCGATCCAATATATTAATTCCCCTCTAGTTACTTTGGTCTTTCTCCAATCATAATTCAAAAATTTCTAAACCCAAGACTCATTAACCCATCAACTAAACTCAAGAAAAAACCTAGTCACATCTCATCAACAAAATTTCATCTGCGTAGAGCTTCATATCTCATTGCCCCCCAAAAAAATCTATATTACCGTTTGCTGATGCTTTTGTATTTCAATTTTTTTTTTTACAAAGCCAATATATATACAAAATATGTTATCTGCATGAAACAAATTTTAGGATTTTCAAAAAACCGAAAACTGATCCAATCCACATCGAAAAAAATTGGATTGGATTGGATTTGAAAAAAAATCCAAACCGAATGGATGATTACATGGTCAAACTGAAAGGATTGAATCAGATGATTTTTACTTCTAAAATCAATCCAATCCAGATCTCGAACACCTCTACCGTGTCGGTGCATCATTGCTCAGCAGTCAGCACCCCCCATTGTGTGATCTATTGGAGGAGCATGTGCGCTGCACACCACATGCAATCCCTGTTTTTGTTTATTTTTTAATTTTTTGGGTACAATACCCCTGTTTGTTTTTGTTTATGTCTACACACCTGTTCGTAGTAGCCATATTAAAATCATCATAGATCAAAGCCACGTCCAATAATTTCTGAAACCCATTCCGCAGCCCAATGCCCTGATTTCTTTCAACAAAACAGCCCAGTGAAATAGATAACCCTGTTCATTGTAGCCACAGTGAAATAGATAACCATGTATAGAAAAAAAATTCCCGAAATATGTATCAAAAAAAACCAAGCTCTAAACCAAGGTCAGAATCTCAGATGAGTTAATTAATGAGCATAACATTGGGTTCGAAAATCTATTTCCTTTGGACAGATAAATCTCTAGTCCAATGAGCCTCCAATAACTTCATCTATAACCTCAAAAAACTTGTGGGACCCACTTGCATTGTGAGTGTAACATGATGTAAGCTTCATCATATAACATAATATTCATAAATCCCAATATATTATATACAAAACTCCATGTCTGTTTGAAAAAACGGTATTTCACTAACGAATTGCTTCATCATTTGAATGGTCCAATAAAATATGTTTCGGATTTCTTTGTTGAATACAACGCATCTATTTCAAATGCTCCATAACCATGAAAGCAAGCATCGAAGTTTGATGCTTATAATGTAAAAAATTAGGGATTTAAAATTGGATCTATAAAATTCGCCAAAATCATTGAGTTTAATTTTTTCAAAATAAAATAAAATAAATATTAATTTAATAAATTCAAGAGCAGATGACGGCAAGGAAATCCCAAAATATGCAATCATGTCCAACAACAAATAATTGGGTCCTAAATCATATAATCTAGACTCTGATACCAAATGTAAGAAATTTCAAAATATGATTATATGAAATTAGAGTACCAAAAGATTTAGGCTTACTTGTTGAAGACATGATTTTTGATTTCTGGAAGGCTTCTTGTTTTCTCTAATACCATGATTTTTGATTTTTGTCTCCTGCAACGGAAAGACCAGAATCTTCCTCTGCAATTCAGACAACTCCCTGATCACAACCGTTGATGGGGCGAATTGTGGAGTAACAGTTTTCTAACACGTTGTGAATGCAGAGGGGACCTAGCCAAACTTATTAACCCTAATCCCCTTCCCATCATGGGCCTATGGGTTAGGCCTACACTGTTACCCACACTAATCAGTTTACAGATATCCAAGCCTAAACAAAAGGATCACTTAATTAAATAAGCTTTATACTGCACCCCCACATGGATCATGACTTAGCCCGTTTTTATCAAATAAAGAAAAACTACAATTGATTGAAGCCCACAACTATTATAAAAATTTCTAACATGATATTCATATGAAAATGAAAAAGCATATAATCAGATATTCATAAAAATGTGGTTATTTTCTACAAAGATACCTTTGGCTTTATGAGTAGAGGTAGAAGTCTTAATAAATAAATAAAAATATTAAAAAGGATGAAAAAAAGGAAAAAAAATTAAAACAGTCAATTTCATTCTATATTTTCTCCTCATATAGAAGAAAACATTGTCTTTTCACTCTAGACATAATAGAAGTGGCAATTTGGGTTGAACCCGACGGGTCAACCTGCCAACCCGCCAAAACGGGACAGGTTGGATTATATTTTTAAACTCATCTCAACCTGCCCCTCTTAGTTGTGGGTCAAAATGGGTTGGCGGTGGGTTGGGACGGGTTGGCCCACGGGTCAAATTTTTGTTTACTAATAGATAGTATTTTATTTGTCACTAAACTTTTGTGATATGAATTTTTTTTATATTAGTACTCTCCTAAAAAAAATAAAAAATAAAAACTTTATTTATTACAAAGGTTATCCATATATTTAGGCAAAAATAAGTTCCTAAAAATTATTTGACTGAATATTATTATACATTTAGGTTTGAAATTGGAAAAAAATTAAAGGGATTGTGAAATGAAAATAAGAAATATTATAAAATTAAAAAATATAATTTAATTTTAATTTTAATATATTTTTTATTTTTTAAGCGGGTTGACCCGCCAACCCACCACAAAACGGGATGGATTAAGATTTTCAACCCATATTAAAATACGAGGCGGGTCGAGGCGGACCGACCCATTTTACCACCTCTAAGACATAATCAAGTGGGCTCACAACTAAAAAAAATAAAAGAAATACCAACTCAGATTTTGATAGATGTATGCAGGAGACAATGTTATCTAAATAAATTTTTGCAAACCTTTTAGACAAATATACTCTTTCATTGTGAAAATTTATTAAAATCCAATCAATTAATTATTTTCTCTTTTGTTCTTATTTATAATCATGTAATAATGATAAAGGCCTGGGCTAAGTCTGGGCCGAAATATGGGCTTAGTTTAAGCCTACGAAGTAGCTAAAAGCCTATTTGAGATTTGAGCTGAAATTTTAGAAGGTGGGCAATAACGTTATTTGGAATGCACTTTAAAAATAAAATATAGAGTGATATAATATTGATTTAAAAATCAAAAAATATTTTAATAATTATATAATTTATTTATGTATTTTACCATAATTATTTTTAATTAAAAATTATAATTTTTTATTTTACCTTCTAAAATATATCCTTAAAAACTATTTCAGCTGCCAGCTGGAGTGAATTATGAGGGGATTAATGTAGACCCCACTCTATCCTAATGCTCCTACTTTGCGCAACGTTATTGAGTAACAAACAACCCCATCCACCAAAACCAAGTTTACTCCACAGAGTTTTATTTTAGTAAAAATAAAATAAGAAAACAAAAACAAATAATCACTTTTTCTACCGCATTCCTCCTTCTTACTTGGATACTTGGAAAAGTCTCTGTAATATGGCCTTCATTGTTGTATAGTACTATTATTGTACTTGTCTGATTCAATTATGTTAATGCTTCTTTTTAGTCCTGGAATTTTTCACCAGGGTATGCAGAGCTTAATTAATAACAAGTCTTTAGCATCATGTGAAGGAAACATAAAATCTTGAGCATCTTATTTGCCTTGTTGGCAATGTTTGGCATAAGGACTTCTATCCACAAACTGAACATGTGCATGGATGACGAAAGATTGACAAATGTGGTTCCTATTTTCTTTAAACTTCAATAATTTATCTGTCTCCTATACATAACTTATTTTCTCACAATAAGTGTTCTTATCTTGCTCCAAAACAATAATGTCAACATGTTCCATTCTGCTATAAATGGGATAAAACTTGTTTTCCTTCCCAGCTAAAATTTTAGTTGTGTCTAATGATGGTAATTTGTAGGGTATCCCAATTAGTCCTAATGAGATAATAACAGCGATTATATATATATGGAAGAAGATAAACTTTGGGTAACAAATAAAAACGCAATTGGTATGCAAAAGTACCCTAATACTTGTAGACATAATGGACCAAGTGAAGTCACATAGTATGTTTCCCTTCCAACATTAGAAGATTAGGGTGTGTGACCAAATTGGCAAAAGAACCAAAGGGGTGGGGTCCTCCATGCTTCAGCCATGAGGCACTGTGTTGTTTTCTTTACGACCATTGGATTTGTTAAAGCTCAAAATCCAGCGATGATTTCCTAATCATTCAGTCGTTTACGAGGGCCCCACCTCGTGCCCTGAAAGTTCACCTCCTTGTATCAAAGAAGTGAGTTTCTTTTGTTGATAATATATCACGGTTGTTAAATCTGATTCGGGCATCGATCCGGTAGAGGTACTGAGTCACTGGGTCGTTGGTCAGATCGGTGGGTTACTGGTCTAACTGGTTGATCCAGATATCTATAGATATATAAAAATATATATAAATATGAACCATATAAATTCAATTATATTCTTCATATCTAAAATGAATTAAGCAAGATTCACTAAATAAGCTAAAAAATATAAAACATAAATAAATAAAAGTGCATGCTATTACTATGTCAATTTAAATTGCAACTCAAAATCCCCATAAACATATTTCTCAATGACATTGAACTCATATTTTTTAAATTCAACTACATTAAAATGACATATGTCACATTCTCTAATTTATTATTCCACAAATTGCTTCAGTATTGAAAACTAAGAGGTCATTGTAGAAGATTATACTAGAAAATAAAATTTCAAAAAAATTTTAAAATAAGTTTTATATTTTTTTTATAAGATGAAACCGTTTTTTTTTTTTTTAAAATGCATGACCCGACCGGGTCACCGAGTTTGACCGGGTCAATACATGACCGGTCCAATGTTTAACCTGAAACGGTCTGATGATCAGTTCACCGAGTTCCGCGTCGAGTGTAATATATGATTGATTGAAATTTTGGAGTTTGTAATATAATTGACATACCAAATATTTTTCCGTACTTTTTTTTATTTTTTGCCAAATATCCAAAGGACTTTTCTTTGTTTTCTTTTCACCCCTTCAATTATCTTCCTTTGAAGTTTCAGGTTTTGCTTTGATGGAATTATGTGAACTTGCTTTTCTCCAAAACGTCAATAGAATCTGTCTTAATTTGACTCAAATATTGGGATTATCTCCATAAAACCGGTTTTGCTATCCACCAAATTATGAAGACAATTACCACTGATATCGCCCTCATTATTATTTAGCATTCAATGCATCAAATTATCATGACAATTACCACTCATATCGCCCTTATTATTTAGCATTCAATGCATCAATTAATATCTCCTGATGGTACGGGGATGTCTTCGTTGGGTTTTGGTGAGAAGAGATAAACAATCAACATTTTGTTAATGGCATTATTTCGGTTTTTATTTATTTATCTTCTTGATATGATACTTATTACATATTCCAGTAATTAATAATAAAATATTTCTTAAGAAATCAGCATTTAATAAATCCTTAATTATTTATCTTTTAAGTAGCATATCTTAAGGTATCGTAACCATTTTCGTATTTTATTCAATTAGAATTATCCTGAATCGCGTAAAAAATTACTGTTGGAACCACTTTTTGTAAAAAATGTGACTAATTTACGTTTTTTTTATTGAAGTCGTACATATCACCAAAACATAAATAAAAATATTTATTAGCAAAAATAGGTAAAAATACAGCTTAAAAATATAAAAAACGGTAAAAAAAAGTAAGTTTTTACTTTTTTTTATATGAGTTCGTTTTTTCTACGGTTAATGTAAATAGCTTATTTACATTGAGTACAAAATGACGTCGTTTTGAGGTAAAAATCAAGATTTTTTTGTAATTATAATTTATTTCAGGATTATAATAGTATTTTTCATTAAATTTTTTATTTTTTCAATCCAAAATGACGTCGTTTCGAGAACGAATGTAGATAATTTATCTACATTCACTTTAAAAATATTAAAACCTTTTTATATATACTAAAAATTGAACCGGATCAACTTTTAATTCATGATCCAGTTTTATTTTAAAAAAGACCAAGTTAATTTTGCAAATTTTACATGCAGAAATTCGATTTTGACAATATTGATTGGGACTGATTATCCAATTAAAATTAATTTAGTTTGTAATTTCAAGGAATAATGACAAATTAATTAATAAATGGCGTTTAAGACTGCGTGAGAAGTCGTGTGACGTGAAGAACATTCCAGGTGAGATAAGGGTAATAATAGAATAGGAGAATTGATCAAGTTGAAATGAATCAATACAATTCAATTCTCCAAAAAAAAAAAAAAAATACAATACAATTCAATAAATAAATATCCTTTTCGGTCCTAGTAAATTTTACCATGTACCTAGTAAATAAAAAGGTTATTCGTGGTTCTATAAAATTTAAAATGGATCTATTTTAATCCTTTCGAAGGACTAATGTGAGTCTTTTTTTAATTTGTGAAGGACCACAATTTTACCTACATAAGTTTATTTTAAATTTTTTAGGAACTACGAATAATTTTTTTATTTGCTAGGAACTAAAACGGATATTGTGAAATTTGTTGAGGTGAAAAAAAATATTTATTGCTATTAGAACCGAGACTCAAAACAAAAAAACAAAACATTCACGTGCTATATTACAATGGACGTAATTTTTAAGTTTTAACGCAACACATTCACATGCACGTCCCAGATTGGATGCACTTGCTGCCAAACGTGTCTACCTTGTCCTCCATTCTGGTCTTTTTAAGGAGGGGATTTTCTAAATTCTAACGAACCAAAAGGCCAATAAACAGTGTTTCCTTTTCTTCTTCTATCACTTTCATTCTCTTCACTTTTTTCTTTCTTCCTTTCTCTCTCTAAGATTCTGTGACGGCCCAACTCAACTTAATGCTTCCATTTATTACCATCTCAAACGTATCTTCTCATATGTTTTGACAGGTTCCCACTTTTTCAGGTCCTCAAAATCCCTTTAGACATTCAAATACGCCATATCAGATGCACAAGTAAGAAGAATTTCAGCTTACCAAAACATTGGAAAAAGATCATGGTGCAGGTCATAACTGGCTCATTATCATCAAATCAAATCGTAATTAAATTCGGGATATTCTGTGCCTGCAAATATAGTCCCTCACAATTTTCACTATGTCCTTGTGTCAGACAAACAATCTGAAAGAGAAGCATAACAAGATAAGGAAACGAGGTTGTTCCTCGTCCTCTTCCTCCTCTTTGGTTAGAAGAAACCGGTTCGAGCGTGCCATTTTGGTGGGGAAGAAAAGGAGGGTACCGAACCCCTTCATCCATGTGGAAGATTAGGACAAGGTCACCTTCTATGGAGAAGCATCATCACCATGCTCAGCTCACAAAAGCAGCTTTTCCTTCTTCTGGTTCCGGGTTCTTCTCCGAAGAGAAGGAACTTTCTGTGTCTGCTAGAAAACTCGCTGCTACACTCTGGGAAATCAATGATTTGCCTAAATCAATGATCAAGAAGGAACCAATGAGAAGCTGCAAGGATATGATCGGAAACAGAGAGAAAGCCTTGAGATCAAGCTTATTGGGGCAACATATCTCAGATCCATTGAATAGTCCTTTTTCTGAGGTAAATTCATTTCAAAGTATCACTTTTTTCTTCATTTGTGAACTGTCCTGTTTTTATTCTGGTTCATAGGGTCTGGCATGAATCATGTTTTCTTATGTACAATTGATTGTGCAGAGAATGAAAGGGTTTGAAGATGATAGCCGCAAAAGAAGCACTGCCAATTTAGAGGAGGTATAGTATAGTAATTTATCAAAACAATTAGAAATATGGTAGGCATATTCATTATGAACGATCATCCGGTTACCTTTTTGTATATTAAATAAAGTGATGAAAAAGATGATAAATTACTACACAAAACAATGACATAAATTGGTTGTGAGATTTTTAAATTGTTTACCATGTCTCAGAATGATCAATTTTCAAATCGACACTGGTTTGTAGTACTAGTAACAACCAAGACTTTTGGTAGGTCTTGAGAAACATAATGTAGATCTGACCAAGTTAATTGAGAGTGGTGTTAGGCATAATGATTTCTTCTTTATTTTTTATTTTTTTTTCTCATGGTTGTGAAGGATTATTATGTTGAAATGCAACAGGTAGGGAATCAGCAAAGAAACAAGAAGAATTGTGGAAAATGCAGGGTTAGAGTCAAGAACCATCTGAAGGAAGCTAGAAGTGGCTTATCTACATCGAAGAAGATTCTAAAGGTCTTAAAAGAAATGTGCCTTCAAGAGCAGCATTCATCAAGCATACCCCTCATCTTGGCTGTGAGTAGTGAGCTTGATCGGGTTCGAAACCAAATTGATCAATTGATACAAGATCAAAGCTCCAACAAGGATGATATCAAGTGTCTCATGAAGCATTTTGCACAAGAAAAGAATGCTTGGAAAAGAAGAGAACGAGAAAAGGTTCACCATGCCATAACGAGCACAGCACAAGAGCTTGAGGTGGAGAAGCAGCTAAGAAGGCAAACTGAAAGGTTGAATAAAAAGATTGCCAAAGAAATGGCTAATGCAAAAGCTTCTAATTCAAAAATGTCCAAAGAGCTTGAAAGGGAGAAGCGAGCAAAAGAGATTCTGGAGCAAATTTGTGATGAACTAGCCAAAGGCATTGGGGAAGGAAGAGCTCAGATAGAAGAACTGCAAAGGGAATCAGCTAAAGTCCGAGAAGAGGTGGAAAAGGAGAGGGAAATGCATCAGTTAGCAGATGTTTTGCGTGAGGAAAGAGTCCATATGAAGCTTTCAGAGGCTAAATACCAATTTGAGGAGAAAAATGCTGTGCTGGAGAATATGAGAAATGAGCTTGAAAGTTTTTTCGGAACTAAGGAAGGAGAAAACTGTGATGTTAATCCAGAGTTTAAAAAACTCAAGGATCTTGAGTCATACTTAAACAAGACATGTTGGGAATTACAAAATATAGAGAAAGTGAATGATTTAGATGTTGGGGATGGAGTGGAGAATGAAGATGACTCAGCTGATAGTGATCTCCAATCCATTGAACTAAACATGGTCAATGACAATAGAGCCTGTAAGTGGAGTCGTGCTTGGGAAAATGTTGCTCAAGATGACCGAAAAAGAGTTTCAATTGACAAAGATATAGGGAGGAAATCTTTCTCTGAGAGAATTCAATGGGGAAGTATTTGCTTCAACAAGGGATCTACCAGTGGTAAGAGGGACTTTGGTATATATATTCAGGAAAGTTCTGATAAGTTTGATGGGGAAGGATCAATTGAATTTCATTTTGGAGCTCAGATACAAGAGGATAACGAAGAAAGTGAAAGCTATAGACCAATCATGAGTCTCCAAGACCATATATCATGAGCCAATCTTGCTCAGACAAGTGGTCAACGTTGACTTGCTGTGCAATGTTGGAGAATGGGGAGAAAATGCTCTGGCTTTGGAGGGACACAATATAAGGCAAGAGGCTACAGGAAGAAAATCTGGATATCAAGAGTTTTGATAGGTTGGTACCATATAGAAAACTTTTCTATTTTTTTTGTTTTGAACTGTTAATGCTTTCTTTCCCTGGAACATTCTTGAATTGAGTATGTTCAAGACTCATCACTAGCAAGAAATTGTAAGTATTGACTACAATTGCACACAGCGCGCAGTTTTGGCTCTAGTTGTTAATTTATTTGGGATTTCCTTATGGTTCAAACATGTTATCTAAACAAAGGAGAAAAGAATAACTACTCTATGGCTAAATGCAACTGTGTTGAGAACACAAATATATTTGAACTATATGGTTGTGATTGAAATGAAACAGTACTAGCTGTGACAGCCTAACAGATAACATTATTATTGAATACTTCCAACCCTTCAAACATTTGTATACTGTCTTATGTGTCGTTTTCCTTTAGATCAACCATCCTGTAGGGCCATGTCTTTTTGATCATTTGGCAAAAATTGCTTATTTTTTAACTGACAATCCCATGTCCTAACATGATGGTATACCGAGCATATAATAGTTGAGGGTGGACAACAGTCAAGTAATCAATACTAAAAGTAAAGAAAAATGTATCGGGGATCTACAGCATTTGCATCTTATGAAAAAGAACGAGTAAATATATAATTTGACCCTGATAATTTGTCTAATAAATTTAACCATTGAATGTATGTTGGTGATTGATTTAGTGATTCAATTATTTAAAAATCTAACACGTTGGCATTTGAAACATTTAGAAGACATTGCAGTTCCAGTGAGTTACAATATTGAAACAATAACAACAGATAAGGCTAAGGGTAACATCCATTCTACAATATCAGGGCCTATTCCAGAACTTGAGGAGGCTGGTTCATAAGTTGTTGATCATGAAAGAATGAAATTACTTCTGGGAGCCTTCGACTTTTGTCCATGTTGATTTAAAGCAAACGGGGTGTTGGGTTCACAAGCCTGATAAATTTTTATAACGAGGAGAAAAACAATCAGGGTCTTCATCATCTTATCCAAACTCATTCAAATCACAGTGATCAAATTAAAAAACCGATAAGGGAAAGATAAAAAATTGAAAAAAAGAGACAGTATATTTTAATTGGATTGGATCGGTTTTCGGTTTAGTGATGAAAATTGATCAAATTCAAACCGATGCAATGTGCTATGTATTTATTATTTTTGAAGTTCCGCTAATGTTCTTTTCCCTAATTCAGTAACCTTTACTCAGTTTCTCCCTTAGTTTCGAACCTAGAGTAGACTATTCTTAAATTCACATTCATTTGCGTATCTGAAAAATTCACTTTCATTCCAGAATCTAGAGTAGACTATTACTCTATTTTAACTCTTTATGAGTTTTAAGATTTATTCTAATTTGAAGACTTGAATTTTTCAAGTTTGTATGATTTCATTTTGATATAGCTAGTGATTTGTAAGGCTGAAATTATAAGCTTTTCAAAAAATCGAAAACCAATCCAATCCAAATCGAATAAAATTGGACTGAATTGGATCAGATTTGAAAAAATTTTCCAAACCGAAGGGATTGAAAAAAATCCATACGAATCATCCACTTCCTCACACTATCCTTACCTCTTTATCAAGTAAATAATTATCCTGTTATTATTGGGGTAGGATATTATAACAATCAATTAGGGTTACTACCAATGTTACTACCAATCAATTTCACCGTTAGATCGATTATGTTGATCCAACGGTTACTTTTATTTTCATCTTTGTATGGTTATGATTCTCCATGTTTAATGTGAAAACATTAAATATGAAAAATCATAACCATAAAAAGATGAAAATAAATATAAAATATTAAATATGGGAAATCATAACCATACAAAGATGGAAATAAATATAACCGTTGGATCAACATAATCGATCTAACGGTGAAATTGATTGGTACTAACATTGGTAGTAACACTAGTTGGTTGTTACAATATCCTTCCCCGTTATTATTTTCCTATTAAAAGTCAATTAGCTCTAATATCTTGAAATTAACTAAAATTTGAAATTTGAAACTTACGATAAAATAGGAAATAACTAATATTATCATTTAGGGCTTGTTTGGGAGTCATGTTTAGGAGGAAAAGGAAGGAAGGGGAAGATTTTACTTATGTGTTCTCCTTATTTGTGAGTTTAAAAAAATGGAGGAAGGAAATTGGAGATTTTTGTAAAATCCTCCAAAACCCTTTTTATCCTTAAAATTAGTTCCCTCAATTTGGGAGTTTGAGGGAATTTTTAACTCGCAAACAAAGGGGAAGAGAACACCCTTCATTTTCTTTCCCTTCCTTCCCCTCCCTCTCCCTTGAATCCCCTTTCTCTCTCTTGGATCCCTTCTTTACTTTCCCCTCAAAACTTGGGGGATTTTTATCTCCCAAATAAGGGGTTTTTGACCACTATAGTCTTTTTTTAATAATTAATTACCAAATTGACCCTATTTATAAACTATTTCAGAAATTTAACCTCTCCAGAAAACATAACACCAATCTGCCCCTGTTTGACCGTTGACTATGAAGCCTACCCGGGTACACCCCTACCTACCCGGGTAAATTTTAAAATTTTTTACCTACCCGGGTACACCCTACCTACCCGGGTATATTTCTTGAATCTGGAAAATGTTTGAATTATTTACCCGGGTAGGGAGGGGTGTACCCGGGTAAATAATCATAAACTGGTTGTGTGCGCCCATCCTCTTTGTGTGAACAGCAAATGAAAATCTCTAAATTGAAGGACTAACGCATGGAGAACAAAATCTGAAAACAGGTTATTGATGAAAAATATTCCACTGGATCATATGCCTGAGATTAGTGAAGCAAATAATCAAGGTTCTGCTCCAACAAAGGATGCTATTACATGTCACCAGTCAGACAATTCAAAAAAATGTTCAGAATTAGAGGTGAAGGAATTAGGCGTTGACAAGCTTGAGTTGTAGAAAACTGTAAAAGAGACAACTGAAGATGGCAAGAGGAAGATGTTGGAGAGGGTTGTCTCAGATGCTCAGAAATTGGCCATTCTTAAAATGACTCTGCAAGGTTTGAAAAAGAAACCAGAAACAAAGAAGAAAAGCAAGAAGAGAAAAGCTTGAGTTATGATTATTTACCCGGGTACACACCTCTCTACCCGGGTAAATAATTCAAACATTTTCCAGATTCAAGAAATATACCCGGGTAGGGAGGGGTGTACCCGGGTAGGTAAAATTTTTTAAAATTTACCCGGGTAGGTAGGGGTGTACCCGGGTAAGCTTCATGGTCAACGGTCAAACAGGGGCAGATTGGTGTTATGTTTTCTGGAGAGGTTAAATTTTTGAAATAGTTTATAAATAGGGTCAATTTGGTAATTAATTATTAAAAAAAGGCTATAGTGGTCAAAAAGCCCCCAAATAAGGGAAGGAGAACACCTTTCATTTTCTTTCCCTTTTTTCCCCTCCCTTTCCCTTGAATCCCCTTCCTCTCCCTTAGTTTCCCTTCTTTACCTTTCCCTCAAAACTCCCAAACACACCATTAGGGATTTAAGTTAGAGATTGATGGATGATCCTGACAATCAAAGTGAGATTGTCCAACTACATCAAAATATATCTCCAAAATTTGTGCACCATTATCAAGATTCAGAATGGAACGTTCAACTCAAAAGGCATTCATATATTCTCAAAATTCACTTTTAAATTCTTTTGACATCTCCACACTGAATCACGGGGACTCATAAAATTCATCAAAACAAAACAACTCCAACGAAGTCCATTTAGCGTAGCTTGGACAATGGATAAAAAAAAAAGGCCCAGTAACTCAAGATAAGTTCAAATCTACTATTAATTCCTAAATTCTTAGTTTTAACCTCTGAAGCAAGCAAAGACTAACCTTTACTTTATTTAGGGCATTCTTCCTTTCGTTGCCTAAAGGTTAAAGCTATTGTACATGAAAAGTAACTTTTCTTGCGTAAAAGTTTGTATCAACAGTAAATGATGGAACTAATAACATATTCCCGTATAGAGTTTCGACATTTATTTACTCAATAAAATAAAATAAAAATATTTTTAATAATATAAGAGAGAATTTTATTTCATGCAATAAAAAAAGGGAAAAATGTACCTAATGTTACTTTAGACAATTTTGTCTAATGTTTATCAAAACGACGTCGTTTTGGGGTTGAAAAATTAAAAAAGTAAAATGATAAAGACTATTATAACCCTGAAATAAATTAAAATTACAAAAACACTATGATTTCCGTCCCAAAACGACGTCGTTTCGATGAACATTAGATAAAATTATCTAAAGTAACATTAAAAAAATCAAACCCATAAAAAAAATAAGTGAGACCCATTAAAGAGAAAAAGAAAAAAAAAAGAAGAATTTAGTGAATTTCATTTATTTTTTAAAAATCACGTGAGATAATTTTATCTCGTATAATATAATAAATATATTTCACTAAAATAAATGAAGCAAATAAGTTTTTTTTTTTTTTAATATATAGTTAAAGAGACGTATATGATTATAATTTTAGGAATGCCAATTTTAAAAATAATATATATACCACTTCTTTGCCATGACACATTCTGCACCGACCCGCTGAAAAGCTCTTCGGCCACGGCAGAGCCAGCTTGCTTGCCACACACAAGCAAGCAAAGCACAAACACAGATTCATAGTTGAAACTGAATCCTCAAAACATAGCCAAATACAAAAGCCAAGGAATAATCCCCTTAACACCAACCCAATCTTCCAGCTTTTTTGTTATGTTTATCCTATGAAGCACCTTAACCTTAAAAGTTAGCTTATATTATTGTGTTTAGGAAAAAAAAAAAAAAAAAAAAAAAAACAGAGGAGTGTCAGGGTTGTGCTGGATTGGATGATGGAAGGAGTTTCCAGCGAAGCCCATATGTCAATTGCCGCTTCTTCCATGTTTCCTGGGTTTAGGTTCTGTCCCACCGACGAGGAGTTGATTTCTTATTACCTCAGAAAGAAGTTGGATGGTCATGAAGAGAGTGTTCAAGTCATTTCCGAGGTTGAGCTTTGTAAACATGAGCCTTGGGATTTACCAGGTCACTCCTTCTACTTTATCATCAATATTATTATTCAGTTATTCAACAACAAATTTTGTATATGAGTAATTAAATAACAGCAATTTCCTTCCTTTTGTATAGCCTTTAGTTTTTATATTAAATATTAATTCTATTTAGTGTATGCTTATTATAAAATGTTCTTTAGTTTTGAATAATTGCTTAGTAATACTGTTTGATGCATATTGTTTATGACTGATTGAACATTCAAGAAACATGTATCTCCTTAAAAGCAGAACATGTAGAACTTCTCTAGCTTGTGTTTGTTGTAGTTGTAGTTGTCCAATGTTATTCATTGTCTTTGATATCCATTTTCTAAGAAAATATAGAGAAAAAAAATGTAATTTAAAATTGTTATGCATGTTTAAAATATACCACCAATTCAACATAAATATTGAAAACATTGACTTATTAGTACTGGTTTGAAACCAGCCAAATCGTTCATTCAATCAGATAATGAGTGGTTCTTCTTCTCTCCCCGGGGAAGAAAGTATCCAAATGGTTCACAAAGTAAAAGAGCAACTGAATGTGGCTATTGGAAGGCCACTGGTAAAGAACGCAATGTAAAGTCAGGTTCTAACGTTATTGGTACAAAGCGTACTTTGGTATTCCACTTAGGGCGTGCACCTAAAGGGGAGAGGACTGAATGGATTTTGCATGAGTACTGCATCAATGACAAGTCTCAGGTACGTAATCATTAACTGAATATGTTCTTCCTATATGCAGGTAACATGATTTGTACATAGATTCTAAGTTGAATGTTTGTTGTAACCATAGTAGTTAATTGCGCCGCAATAGCGTCGCGAGCCGCGCTGTATGGGCGTAAGAAACTGCGCCGCGCCGCACCGGAACGCAATAGCGGCCATTGCGATCGTATTTGCGGCCATATTGCTGTCATAAGGCAAAATGTCAATTTTGTCCTAAATTTAAATGTGTAAGAGAAAAAATTTAAGGGTTTTTTTTGTCTATCCGTGTCTTTTTCTGTCACTTCTGCCATCTCTGCCTTTAAAGAATGTTTCTTTTTGTCATTATTTTTGTCATATATCTATTCTGCTATTTTCGCAACCGCAACCCGTTATAAAGCTACAGTGTTTTTTGAGGTTTGTCGCGACATGCCGCAATCCGCATTTGATTGGTAACTGTAAGAAATGTATGTTTTAGGATTCTTTGGTTGTTTGTCGCCTAAAGAGGAACACAGAGTTCCGTTTGAGCGATCCACAGAATAGAGCTTCTTCAAGTCAAGTGCACCCTGTGAATTCACGGGAAAGTGATTGTGCTATCTCAGAAGGTGGTATTGATCAAAGGGGTGCGTGTGAGCAAGAAAAAGAGGTTGGATGTAGCTCCAAGAGAAGCAGTAGCAGCTATGGTTCTCCTTCAATGGAACAAATTGATTCTATGTCTGAATCAAATCAACGACCAACTAATGAAGCTAATTTGACAGAATCTTCGGGTCAGGAAAAGGTATATTACTAGATTCAGTTTCTTTGTATTAAGCACATCATTGGATAAAAAAATTTGAACAATTCTTTCCCTTGTTATAATTCAACCAAAAAGCTTAAGTTATTAGGTGAGGGTCTCTTTAATGATTTATATTATATTCTAACACGCCCCCTCACACGAGAGCTCACTGGAAGGGTGGATAATTCCACGAGAGAAAGTGAGGGGCGGTGAGGATCGAACCCAGGACAACGAAAGAAAGTGAGGGGCGGTGATGATCGAACCCAGGACACAAGGCTCTCATACCATGTAAAAAACCAATTCAGTCCAAAAACTTAAACTATTAAGTGAGAACCTCTTTAATGATTTATATTATATTCTCACGGTAACACTCTATTGTAGGAGGTGGATGAAGAGGATTGCTATGCTGAGATACTAAAGGATGATATCATTAAATTAGATGAATCATCAATCTCACAAGAGGCTAACACAAGACCACAGGACCCTACACAGATGCATGGTTACCAAGGCACAGCACAACGAAGAATAAGATTAAGGGTTGGGAATTCAAGACCTTCTACTGCAGGAGTTAGTTTCAAAAGCACAATGCACTCATCAAAGAATGCCTTCATTGCCAGAATGACCAACCGTTTGGTGATATTTGCTTTCATGGTTTCCACTTTGATAGCTATATATTTTTTGTCATCATTGGGTGGTCTCAAACAAGTTAAATGTTGTGGGAAATTTTCGCGTGTAAATCATGATTAGTGCTATGCTTTAGCCTTTTGAGTTTTTGTGTACAAATTAATGACGATCTCCTCTGCACCTCACGAAATCGGGGTTTAAGAGGACTGCTTGTAGTGGAGGTTTATGCAAGGATAAGGACTCTTTTTTTTTTTCTTTTTCTTTTTTAATATTGATTCTTATATATATCTTATTAAAGGAATTGATTCTTTGCACGTGAATTCACATTGATCGAATCCATGTATAAAATTAGAATGATGTCGGTTTAATGTTAAACAGTCGAAATAAAATATAGTGGGGGTCATATAATTAAAATAGCATTTCACAAAATCAACCTTGATACCATGTTCAGTTAATAGCGCTGGAGCAGGTCGGAATAAATTATGTATCACCCGCAATTTGAAGTGTCGTGTTTCACATCCCTGAGATGTTCTCGTATTTATAATATTTAAAATTTTATTTATATATCATGAAAAATTAATTTATGTTTTACTAAATTAATATAATAAAAATAAAAATGGACATTGAATAAATTTTATTGGAGTGCATAAGACATTTTTTCAATTTAAAAATATAATAATAAATATTTACATGTTATGTTTTTTTGCAAAATTAGTCGTGTTATCAGTTTAATTTTATTTTTTTGTTATATTTAATATATATATTACATAAATTAAAAATATTATTTAATATCAAAACGTGTCGAAATTTAATATTTTTTAGAATTAATATAGTGGAGTATCGTATTCAGTGTCACATATCGATATCGATATAACATATATTAACACCACACATGATTCCATCGCTTATAAGATTCAGCGTAAATAAATAAAGGGGAAGGATATTGTGACAATCAAGTTGTGTTCCTACCAAGTGACTACCAATCAATCTCTCCGTTAGATCGATTATGTTGATTTAACGGTTATATTTATTTTCATCTTTGTATAGTCACGATTCACTATATTTAAAGTGAAAGCATTAAATATGAGAAATCATAACCATACAAAGGTGAAAATAAATATAAAGTACTAAATTTGGAGAATCATGACCGTACAAAGATGGAAATAAATATAACCGTTAGATCCATATAATCGATCTAACAGTAAGATTGATTGGTAGTCATTTGGTAGTAGCACAACTTGGTTGTTACAATATCCTTCCCGTATAAAATTATTAAATTGTTATGCGTATATAGGTTTTTTTAACCCCTCCAATGCAAAATTTTAAATTTTTCATCCATTTAATTATTTTGATAAATTATTTATTTTCAAGCACATATGGAGTATGCATATTAAATCGCCCATTACCTTACGCGCGAATGGTGCAAAAGTCAATGTTGATTACTAATAGACATGTGTTAAATTTTGCACGTCGCGCATGAAAGACAAGTGCAATTTGAATGTGCATTACTAAAATGAGATAAAATATTATACTTATTTTTTTAATACCTATTCTTTGCTGTTCTATATTAGAATCTTAATTAATATTTATTTTTTTTCTTTCTTTTAAGATTTTAATCTAATAATATTGAAAAAATAAATAAAAGTATAATGTTCTATTTCTCCTAAAATATAAGTCTTTTCTTTTCACATTAGACTGATAAATGATTTTATGAAAGAATTAAACCTCCTAATAATTTCCAATTTTGAGAACAGTGACCTTTTGGTCACATTTAGCAAAAAAATTTACCAGACTGGTACGTCAACAGTAAATTTTGTCAAAATGTCACGCGGCATATTTCGCTACACTGTGTAGCGAAATATGTCATGTCAGGATGCACAGTCAGAAAAAAATGACACGTGTCAAACAGGCAGATATTCGCTACACTGTGTAGCGAATTATGCTTGGATTCTGCCTGCTTGACACGTGTCATTTTTTCTGACTGTGCATCCTGACATGACATATTTCGCTACATTGTGTAGCGAATTACTTGCAAACATATTTCGCTACACAATGTAGCGAAATAAGCCGCGTGACATTTTGACAAAATTTACTGTTAGCGTGACAATCTGATAAATTTTTTTGTAAAGCGTGACAAAATGGTCACTCTTCCTTAATGTTGCGGGTCAAAAAGTCATTTGCTTATGATGCGAAGTAGGGGAGACTAGGGTGTTCCCAACGGTACCGAATCACAGCCTTCATCTTCCCCTAAGTTACTGCTTGAAAGTAAAAAGGGAGAAAGAGGGTGTTGCAGTGCAGGTTTAGGTTATACTCATCGGCGTCGTCGCTGGTTTAGAATTCCTTAGCTTCCAAAATTTGTCGTGTTCATTACGTCACTCACTCTGTTTCCGTAACTCAACTTTTTTTCATTTTCGCCGAACTTCAGCATTCAGAAGAAAGAGAGGAGCTCGCACTTGTTAGTTGTCACAGATCGATAATGAATTTAGGGTTTTCTCGCACACTACAATCTGTAAGTCTTCTCCTTCCAACTCCAAAGCCAATTGAATTCTACCACGCTGCAGCTACGTCGCTGATCTTGTTTTCTTTTATCTTTCCTCTTTGCACTCGCGATTCAATGATCCAACATTTTCAATTAAATAACCCTAATTTTTATTACTTCTATCTGATTTAGCCGATTGACTTCCGTTGACCATCGTTTTTGCAATTTCGAGAATCTACAACGAATGATAAACCTAGTTGTTCCCCAAATTTCCCCTCCTAATTTTAGGAATTAGGAATCAGCAATCAAAATAACAAAGTGTCTCTTTGTGACGTATCATTATTTGATTTTGAAGGTGTTCAGCTTGTAATTTAGGAATCATGTCGAGGCCCATGTTGCTTGTTTTCTTGCTGCTTATACTTATAATCACCTCACAGTTCGAGTGGAAGCAACAGCTTGTGGCTGATGTTGACTCAAATCCGAACTTATCTCAAAAGCAGCATCAGATTTCAAGGCCTGAAGAAACCGTAAAGGAGAAGGTCCTAAGTTTTTCTCATCCTTGTTTTTGTATGTTTGTGCATAAAGTATCTCTTTAGTGTGGTATTGTTTTTGGGTCTTTTGCCTACTGTTCGATTCAAGCTGCTTATCCTGATCCTTGCATAAGGTTACATTTAAATTATAATTAAGTAAAGAAATTTTTCCCGGAATATTGAGAGGTGTTGAGATTATAACACAAGTGGTTATAAGTTTCTACCGATATCATATATTTGTTTAGATGGATGTGTATGTTAGCTTGGATCTTTTTGTTTCATTTTGCTGTACGTGAATTTTAGTGTCAGTAGGTTTGTTTTCCTTACCTTGAACACTGCACAACCATGCTTCTTGTAGAGGTGAAGGGGAGTTTGGTATTCACTTTTCAGAATGGTTTTATGTACTCCTGTTGATTCTCCCTTCCCAGGGAAAAGAAAGAAAGATAAAACCCTGAAAACTGGAGTTTTGAGATTGTCCGTGTGTCCAGAAGTTTATTTCTTGAAATCAAGATCGGTATAGTTTTGGTGGAAGTTATATATTGCTTAGTTTAGATAGCAGTAGAGACAGATCTTGCTTGAGTTGTAATCTGATTCTTGCTTCCTTTAAAAATGAATGGACATGGAAATGGTAATGGGATGGCAATTTGTTATGAATATCTTTATACATCTTATCAATTGTTAGCCATTTGTTTTAATAAATTGATTTATATGGAAACCAAACCTTTTACATGGGGAGTTGTGTTGTTGAAGCCTTTCTCTGTCTTCCTCTACATACCGTTGAGGAATATTTTGGTAAATTTTTGTATATGTGTTTGCTTTGAATTCATCAGGAGTGTTCAAGTTATGCTCCATATAATTCTTTCTAAGTGAAACAAGTCATCTTTGTGGAAACAGAGAGTTTTTATGCGTAGTTTTTTCTTGTATGCCCTTTCTGTGGTTTGTGCAAGATTCCCAACTTCCAAGGTTATCATTCCATCTTAAAGATCTGCATGTTCATACTTTATTTAATTATCACTGGTAACAATGCAAATAAGTTGAGAGGACAATCTTTTGATTATATAGCTATGGTATCTCACTGTCTTAGACAAATCAGGTTCAGATCTTCATCATTTGAGAGAATTTTGGCTGTGTATGGAATGCCATTTCAAAAGTTGTCTCCCTGTGGGAACAGTGATACATGTATGGACTTGGATTTGAATGACTCGTTTTCAATGTTGATCAATCGTTATGTGAAAATTTTATTGTAAAGTAAATTTTGGAACCGTAAATAATGTCTGCTAAATGCTAAAGACATTTCATATTATGCCAAAAATGAGAGAGCCTTAGTTTTTGGTGGCTTATATACATTGTATATATTAGTGTCATATATTTATACACCTTCACCATTTTTTTTTTCCATGTATTATGCAAAGTATGCTCTAACTCCAACTTTTGTAACAGAAATTTGTCTGTTGGGGTCATGCTATTTTAATCAGATATTTGCTAAGTTTTCTTTTAATGGGTGTTGCTTGCTGCAGATTATTTTAGTGCAAGAGAAGAATATTCGAAGACTGAATGAGCTTGTGCGGCATCTCCAAGAACAACTGCAGCAGTGTAGAAACAGAACTATAAATGGCACTGTAAGTCCTCTAGCTGATCGGATTCTTGAGCTTGAGCGACAGCAAATTTTAGAGGATTAAGCCAATACAGAAAGTATGTTCATGAAGTTCATCTTTATACTCAAGTTGTAAAGTAGATTCGTAATTTGTTGAAAGGGAGGGTTGTAAAAGATTTGCTTCCTGTTTGAACTACGATTTTGAACTCTATCTCAATGGGAGTCCTACTCCTACATCATTCAATGAAAAGTGCAGTGTTTGAATCCTCTATTAACCCATGAATAACAAAATATGGCTGGGCCATTGTACCTCAGTTATCTTCTACTAGCCAGATGACATAAAGATACTATTGTCTGCCATTACCCAGTAGCTGAAACAGGAGTAAGTATGAATGTATAATGTGATAGTAGCTATTGGAGGGCATTATTTTGCTCAGATTAGGCTTAACCATACACATTGAGATCACAAGAACCACCGAAAGAGAATAGGTTGAAGAGGCAATGTGGCAATGCTGATACTATGGCAGTGAGTGAAGCAGAATGTTGACACCAGGTCTTGAATTACAGTGTGCTAGAAGGTTGCTGTGCTCTTAATTTCTTACAATGAAGGTGAATATGGACCTATGTTGCCATCTCTTGCGTGGCTGTTTCTGTCGGTAAAACACTATTAGTCTATTAGACGTACGTTCCAACAAGAAATCCTTATGTACTCTTATCAACTCACTAAAAAATGGCACGGTATATTACTCTACGAATGCATAAGTAATTTTTTGTTTTTAGCAGTGTGTATCTCGGGAACTTTGTTAAATTGATCATGGAAACGAGACATTAATGTTTCAGAGCTGCCTTGAACTCGGCCAATTTTCCTTCTCTAGAAGACAATTCTGGGTTTACTTGTTTCAGATTTCCTTTGGTTCAGTTGACGGTGAGGAGAAGAAAGAATATGTTCACTTCCTTTCAACTCTCATGGGAACCGTAAAAGTAAAGGTTTGCTAGGAATGAAATCCAAAGCAAACAAGCTGAGCATATTTTGAGAGATGAGACTCCATTTTTCGAATTTATTATGCTAAAATTAGCAATTATTTTGAGCATATTTCAAGCTATTCTGCAAAAATATTTATATAACGGTACAAACACGAATACCAAAATCAACCTCTGGGTATTTTTGTGCTTTTTGAGCATTATTTGTGTCTCTTAATTATTTAAAAAGTATCATTTTATTCATGTACTAAAACATATTATTTATTTGTCCCTATTTGACTGTTAACTTAACAATATACTCGAGTATATGACCTTATACTCGAGTGTTCTGCGAAAAAAGCTAAACTCGAGCACACTGGTGAACTACTCGGATATTATTCACATTTTGGGCATTTGTTGAATTATTTACTCGAGTATCAAGGGAATACTCAAGTATATGTCCCTGGCTGAATTTTTTAAAAAACCCCTATTTCACACATTACTTTTCGCATACCTGGGTATCACGCGAATAGTGAAGAAGCTCATCCGTGCAATCACCCAAACCAGCCAATACAATCGATTGGTAGTACTCCTATCGTCATTATCCCCTCGTTATTCATCTGATTGGTCCTTCATCTAAGGTATGTATTTCGGTTTTGGGTTTTTTGATGAACCTTAACCCAAACATTATTTTCGCTGGTTAATGTTTGTAATTTTAATGTTTGATTGCATTCTCCACGCTCCTTCCATTCTTCTACAATCGAGCATCAAGCCCTCTACTCGCTCCATTGCTACCCAAGTTTACTCACATTATACTTCTCACTCCTCACTTCCTAATTCCGGTCATAATGGTAGGAGGCCCAAAATATTATACTTCCACTTACTGTTGCTTTATGGGCTTTTATTTTTGTGTTTTGCTTGCTTGTTCATTGAATTTTGTTGATGAAATGTTGTTAGTTACACGAGTCTTGTGTATGCATAAATTGCACGCTAGGTGTTTGATAAAATTCTGAGATGATCTCTTCCATTCCAAAGCTCATCTTTCACTTGCAAACCTTCTCATAATCGAAGGCTCGCTCAAGTTTATGTCATCATCTCCATTCACCCCCTTTTGTCTTCTTAATTTTCTCACACAAGTCACCCCCTTCAAATCCCACATGCAATGCTCCTAGATGACTTCAAGCTCAATTTCCCTTGTTTTCCTATTGTTGGCCGAAATTTAACAAGAAGAAAACCTCCTTTTTTTTATTTTGTTGATGGTATCAAGAATTAGAAGAAAGAACCATGTTGTTGGGGAAAGAACCTTAAATATTCGACTTGATGAACTTGGACCTTCTCATGAACATTGGGACTATTTTGAACATGAAATTAAAACCTTAGACTTTAAGGAACCCGTCACTAGTAGGTGAACATGTATATTCTCTTATAATCCTGAGACTTGTAAGGCTGCATCTTTGAAACGGTCTAAGTATTTATGGAGTGTCTCGCTTGGTTTCTGCCTGATTTTGCCTAATGTAAACTCGGACTTCAGATGCTTTTTGCTTGTAGCAAAATTCAGCAGGAATTTATCTTCGAACTCTTCAAATGATCGAATTGAATTTGCCAATAATGTCGAGAACCATGTCTGCGCAGCTCCCGTTAGAGTTGTTGCAAATATCTGGGAAATGATTGACTCATCAATTCCCCTTATGTACATATCTGGGTCGAAGGTGTCAATGCAAACTTGAGGATCCTGACTTCTGTTGTACTTCGGCAGACGTGCCGAATCAAACTCTTTCGAGAAGGGCGCATTCACAATCACGTCAATGAAAGGGATGTTGCTATACTGTCCTCTATGATATTTTCTTCTACACGCACCTCTTTCGACGTGGCCAAAATTTTGCACATCTCTATTACGCTCAACAATGTCCCTGACTCGATTAGCTTCATCCCGATTACAATATGGGCTTCTGAGCCTGCCTTCTTCTCTATCTCGACCATTACTCACAGCTCGACCTCGTTTGTCTTCCATATTCGCGCTTCTATCAATGTTGTTTTCATTATGACCATTATTGGTGCCTTGGCCTTGGTTGGTGTCTTCATTTCGGTGTCGGTGGAGATTAGTTTATCGACGCTCCTCTCATCTTATGCATCCTTCTGCTCGAACTCGGTGTCTTGGTTGTTCCGAGTTGTCCCTCTGGATCAAACACTTCTCCAGATCTTAGATTCTTTGAGCATCCATCTACCTCTGGAGCTGGTTGTGGTTCTCCATTTCCTCAATTCATTAGAGAAGTGCATTGAGGGCAGTTTGCTCTATTCGTTGTCTATTTCTACTGCTAGGGGTAACTGAACTAGCATGAGATGCATCAGTTCGAGCTGCACCAATTCGGTTGGGCTTCCAAGTTCGGCGTTGGCGTTGAGGCTGTGTTCAAAACCACATAACTGGCGTGAACCGCGTCATGATCGAGTGCTAGTCCGACATCCTGGTTCTGCATGTTGGCATCCATCAAGACTGATCAACCGGCAATAACTGAGGCGGCAGCGGTGGTGGTTATTGGTGACTGTTGCTCTTTGTATTCACCATGTTAGTTGATGGGACGTAAATTCGTTCCCATCTAAGCCCATTTTGATGGTAAAATACCATACGTTCCCTCATCTGATGAGCAACTTCAGCATAAAAATCACTTGTTTTACACATTTGTGACAAAAACACAGTGGGGGAACAGATGGTAACGTATTCCTTTAAAATATATTAAAAGGGGAACAGACTGAGACACATTTAATGCACCTGCTCCATTCATTTAATGCTTCTGTACACTTTGCAGGTAACGTAGAGTTAAAGACTTCTAAAAAGCAAAGCGGTGCACCAACTGAGCAGCTGGAAACGTGAAGAGCAGGGAATCAAGAGTTCTCATTGGCTGAAAACAGAAGCAAAACATGGGAAGACCTGCAAACAACGACTAATCATCACCAAACCCTGTTCCATTCAGCAATTCACGCAAGCTTCACACTCTGCTGCCACCGTCCCGTCCCCTCATTCAAGCAACTAGCTCCAAGGGAATTACAGTCTTGTCATTCCTCTTCCAGCTATAAATAGGACCTCCCTCACACAAAAACACCATCGAATCCTGGAGGGTTTGCAGTCCGAAAGGAAGAGATCACTTAGTAGTAGTTAGTAACTTAGTTTAATTTTCAGTTGTAATTATAGTTAAGCGACAACCCTCTTCCCTTCTCTGTAAACAACCATCAAGACTCATCACGAGCAATTACCCATCTTTCTCCATTTTCTGTTTCTTTTTGTAAACTGTCTTTTAAATTAATATAAGTGTTTTTCTCTTCGTTCCAATCGTTATCTCTTGACTGAATCTCGGGTCTATGTGATCTCAGTTGAGAATAATTATGTTTAAACTATCAACCATGAGCTCAACTATTTGTGGAACGGATAAACTGTGAAACTCTTAAAGAATTATTTTCAAAACTCTTGAACGAAGCTTTTTGTATTTCTTTGGCTGAGTAAGCTATATTCATTGTGCGCCAATGGAAATTGGGTACATACTGAGAAAGGAACTTACATAAGGAAGAGATTTTAGACAGCTTAGCCATTGGGGGAAGGTAGATGTCATGGCCAAAACGTTACTGGTCACCTTAGGAATAAGGGGCCAACTCGTCAATTTTAAGGTTCTGAACGAAGTACCTATTGGAGTCAAGGGAGCCGTAGGAATATGGAAACTTGTGAGCCATCTAGACCATGAGCTGAGGAATCAGAGTTGGCAGGCAAAGAAACTGGGACAAAGCCAAAAGGTTCTAAGTCTTGAGCAGAGAAAACAGCCCCTTTAAGAGTGAAGCAGTGAATCTGTTCCTTTTGTTAAACTGTTTTAACCACCACCCTGTTGTCACTTGATTATAGTTATTTCTGTTTTAGTAATTTTATTTTATTTTATTTAGTACTTATAAAAACTCCAATCATTGTTATCTCACCTTCTTCTAAACAGGAAGGATCACATACATAACGCAGCGAGCAACTGTTTGCCATCAGGTTGAACTTACTGTTTCTGAGGAACGTTGTCAAGACAGTAGGGAACGTTTGACCAGACAGTTCATTTACTAACTTTTCTTCTCATTTTTACTCTTTATAAACAGTGATAAAACAATAATTAGCACTATATCCTCGTGGGAACGATAATTTGGGCTTTAATACTCCCTTTATTACTTGATGCGTGCACTTGCGCACTTGGGTTGGAACTAAGGGAACGAATCTGTGTTCTGCAAGAACATAGGAATGTTCCCTATCAGAACTTATATTTTTTCACCATCAGCAAACCACCCAACATTAGTCATGGGGGTAAAAATTTACCTTATTCCCATAGACAACGCCAATGTTTTGTCCTAGGGACAAAGATGTCTAGTCAGATACTACTATGTTGATCTTGAATCTCAAGACTCTCTCAGATATCTATAGATTAAATACCTTTGATTATGGTAGATCATTGTGCACTAGGAATACCAGCATGAGCCAAAGGGGTGATGTGTAAATAGTGACTACATAACAGTAAAGAGAGAAAAAGTGTCCATACTTGTAATTTTTACTTCTTATTTATATAGTTTACCTATGCATAGTGGAATTCTAGACCTTTAGGGGCTCTTCTGGGGGGCATGTCCAGGTTCATAGCTGTCACATTAGGATTAGAATTCTTGATAATGCTTTCCTTTATTTATCTTAATTTTCTCTTTCTGTTGCCCTTTTTTAAGCCTTCTAAAATATGGGCCTCTCATGTAGGTCCATAACACTACATGTTATTTACCCAACCATCGAGTTTGACCATTATCCGAACACTAATTTAAATTGGAGGTTATGAACTATAAATAAAAAATAAAAAAAAATTGTAGGTTATGATAAATACTGGGTAAGTAGACACGCAACATGAACCCGAAAATGCGGACTAACGGATAAAGAAATGTTAATTTAATATGAGAAAAGGGACTTGACGACTTTGTATATGATAACTATTCAACCAAATGCAGACACAAATTTAATTATTTGTGATGACAATTTGAGCTTTTCCGACTATCTAACTGAGGAATTGTCAAATTTGGCAATTTATGGATCTCGTTGGCCTCACACAACAAAATATCCCGCATATAGTTTGTATTGAGCAGCATCTAATTAAATATCTGATTCAATATGTCCAAGTCAAATTTCTGCATCATTCAATAAATGAATAAATATGGAGGACTTTTAGCGTATTCTAAACTCAATGGAAATGATCATTTCATGTTAAAAATTTATATAGCCATAAAAAAAATTTGTATTTTTTTTTTTTTTTTTTGCATACATTCAATAAATGGGGTATGATTATAATTTGCAGTGGTGGAGACGCTTAGTAGTTAATTGGTGCTTTGGAACCAACTAATTTTTAAAAATTGTGCAGATTTTCTTTAAAAGATATGATACAGCCATAGCATTGATTGAATTTTTAACAATAATACAACATTGACACCAGCTAAATTCTACTGGTTGGATCTTTTTTCACTATTAGGTTTTTCTTCTAACTCGGCCACTAATAATTTGTCAATATTAATGAAAGAAAGAGTAAAATCTTCACATGAAGCTTTTATATGAATATTTAACATGAGATTATCCATTCTCAAACTTTAAGAGAGACGTCCTTTAAGACAAACCTTTTTATTTTTTCCGTGTGACTGTGTTAGAACGTAAGAAAAAGAGTAGTGACAACTTTGGATGACCATGCAAATTTAGCAATTAATGAAGTGGTAGCTGGCGCTGCAAAATTCCATCGCATATTCACATCGGAGCGCTGTTTCTATAAGCATCATGCATGGCATAAATTTTCTTTCTCAATTATGGGCCCCTCCACTTCTAACCACAATTAAATTTGACATTTAAACTCAATCAAACACCTCCTCTTTCCTCTCTGCTTCCTTATGTCTTCAAATCCACTATATAACCCTATATTCGCTCAACATATATAACAAAAACAAAATCACCCTCTTTGTTATTTTTTCTGTTGTATATGCTTCCCTTGTACGCTTGTACCTCTTTCAATTCCTTCATATAGAACTTCTATAAACATCAAACATATACATATATATATATGTTCGTTGAGATTAGGATTCAGAAGAGATAGAGATGAGTGATAGAGCAAGGAGTCCAAGGTTGGAATTGCGGCTGAACTTGTCCCCGCCACGTGACCCATCATTGGAGTTGTCGACTTCATCATCATCGGAGGGCTCATGCGTGTCTTCAGAGGCTGATGAAGAGACAAGGGTCATGCTTCTCTTAGGTTGTCTTCGATGTCTTATGTATGTTATGTTATCAAAGGCTGATCCCATTCCCAAATGCCCCAAGTGTAAAAGTACTGTGTTGCTTGACTTCCTTAATAACAAGCCAAACACCAACAACACTAGCAGCCAGGAAGATTAAAGTTCTTGTATTTTCCCTATTAATTCTATTTTCCATTGATAGTTAATTAATTAATTAATTAATTACAGCTGATTATATTTACCTCTTCGATTTTCTTCTTGTGATCGACCAGATTTGATTGCGTGCAATCCAAAGGCAAAGACAATGAGGGAAGATATATATGGAATAAACTAAAATTACCACTCTATTGTATTGGATGAAATGGAATGGAATAGATTTCATTAGGTTTTATACTCGTGTTCTAAACAATCCAAAAAATGTTACCTTTCATTCTAATCTCTCCCATTCAATATCCCTTTTCATCAATCTAAATATGGCTTAAGGAAGGTCCCTATAAATATATGTAGTTAATTAACAACATTATCAAAATATGAACCTGCAATTAAAGCGAAAATATAAAGCAGATAATTTCTACATATTTCACTTGGTTACATGTATATGACCAAGTGAAATATATATATACATTTTAGAAATTTTAACATGATATCATAATATGGATGACCTTAAAAGTTTGATTCTAGATCTCGTTACTTGTATTTTTTAGATAGTTACTTAAATTATAAATTGCTTGCTTCAACTTTTAATTTATGACAAATTACCTCTCGGAGTTTAAATTCGGCAAAACGTAACAGAAGTTTATTCAACACAATTTTAATTCTTAGTGCTTTAAACAAGTGTTTTGATGGGAAAGAAAAACATATTGACATGTTTTGTGTTAATAATGTAAAGGATCATTTATAGAAGTAGAAAATTGCTAAGTACTTAAAGTTGAAGCGAGTAATTTGCTAAAACTTCAGAAAATTTACAAAAAACATGAGTCAAAAGTCTAACAAACAATGATATGATGCAATATTCAAACCAAATTTTTCAGTGCTTACTAGGGATAAAAATACAGGTGTAAATTGGCTAGAGCAGCCTCGTACTCCTAGCATGAATTGTATATAAAAACAAATAAAGTTTAGGTTTAAAAATAAAGACTATATTTTTCTACAGTCGCATGAGACCAACATAGTTTCCTGCTGACCCATAAAATATGTGTTGTATTTATTTTGTTTTTGTTTTTTTAAATAACTGGTGGAGCTCACAAGTTATATGTCTGTAACATAAGATAATAAATTTTCTCTTACATGAGACTCATTTATCCCTAAAAATAAGTCTATTTCAAAATCAGGTTACAGATATACTTTTAAAAGTCCTGGTCCGTAATTATCTTCTTATGTAGACTTCTTATGTAGACTTCTTTTTGCCTCTCTAGACACACATAATGCAGGGTGGAGCGTGATGTTGCAAGTGGTATAAGAACCAAGATAAAAAAGAAAGTAAATTCTATTTGGATTAATTATATTTAAGACAATGTACTTACATGATACCTACTAGAATAATAAGATTTGGAGGAAGTATAACTTATAAAGACTACTTGAATTTTGAAACTGTAAGGACCCAAAAAAACAAAAAAACAAAATCAATTTTATAGGACTACAATGTATTTAAATATTTTATTTTATGTTATTTATCCTTTGTCTTTCTTATTAATTAAAAGTGTGCAATTTCTGCAATATTATCTCATTCTACTGTATTATTATAATGTAAGATTTTTTTTACTATTACCAGTGCATATCATTAAAAAAAGTTTGATGTCATAAACGAAAAAAGAAAGTAAAATGTCTTAAGTATGGATTGTGATAGACATTTTTTTAAGTAATTTGATAATAATATATATAAATATGATTGAATTATAGTATTAGTATATAAAAATAATTATATAATGAAACTAAATTAAATTTAAATCCTACTATATATTAATATAAAACAAGCTACAATTTATAAAGATTTTTTTTTTTGTATAACCCAGTATTCCAATTTAACCTCCTCTGGTCACCTTGTCATCATTGGAGTATGGTCCCAAAGACTAACACCTAATTGGAATAGTATGTGCATTGGATTATGCCACCGAAAAAAGGATAAGACTAATCCTCCTATCGAGAAAAGAAGCATGACCTTTGGCCCATAAATTTTTTTCAAGAATTTGTTTGTGCCAAAATTTGAACCTACGAACTAAACCAACCTTGGGAGGTCAATTACCAATTTAGCTACCTTGGGGTTTACAATTTATAAAGATTTAAAGTCTAAAGGAGATGTCCAAAAAGAATGGGTCAAGTGGTAATTAAGTTTGACCTTAGCATCAAAAGTTTGAAATTGCGGGAAAGTACTTACGAGAAAGAGCAAAATAAGTCTTCTCCTTAAATAACTAGAGGAAAATGAAAAATGTCCAAGTGGAATTTCATGAATTTTATTCACTTTCCTATTCTAATTATGGATACGTTTTTGGGGTCAAAAATAATTATAAACTGTAAGGGGTTTATCAAGTGTCTTCTTGTTGATTACTAAGTGGGGACAAAACTAACCATAATATCACATGGAAAATCTGAAAGTCCACTGTTGGCATGTTTCAAAATGGATTAAAAGGGACAAAATCTCTAAAATAAATTAATCCAAACACGCATTAGTTAACCGAATTGTTGATGTGCATTCTTGTGCGAAATAACATCTATATTATATAATATGTAAATTTAAGGGGGAAATTATTTATATCAGTATAAGAATTTAAGAGTAAAATCAATTATATAAAAAAGTAAACTAAAATCTTGATTTCTTGATTAGTTTTTAAACATAAGAAAAATAAAAATAGACAAGGGCACTCTTGATTGGCATCAATTCAGTGAATAAGCGCGGAGGCTAGGGTGTCGACAAAGGGGTCAAATTGCCCGAGCGACAGACATGGCAAGTATAACAACTTAGGCTCGATGTCCTTTTCCTATTTCCTCTTTTTTATTCTTTTGACTTGTCATTAATTTTTTTGGAATTAAATTATTGTGGTTAATAAATAATTAGTATTCATATTACAATTTTTTCTTATATTTTAATTAGCTTTCTATCACGGCCTACTGACCTGACCGAACCGGTGTTTTGTTTTTAGCATGGTTCAAGTTGGGTCCACTATTTTTTTATAAGCATGACTTGATGCATCGTATCTAAATTTAGGCAAGGTTTTCATGTGGAAAATGAGCTGTTTTTTCTATAGTTATATTAACTGTTTTTTCAGGAATAGATTGCTGGCACGCGCAAATCCCGATAAGCATTATTTTTTTTTCAACAAGTATCCCAACTTGGTACATAAAGAAGTGTAATATCTCAATATTTTGTAATCTATTGTTGTCGGAGTTGAAATCGCACAAGAATCCGATTTCTTCCATTCAATCATGGATAATAAAGAACATTCTAATTTGCGAAATCAAATTAGATAAGATAAACCGAAAATTGAGGATATGTTTGATTGTTTTCTGATTTTTTTTTTTGTTCTTAAAACTGTTTTGTAGAATAATTATGGAAACAGTTATTTTCTGTATTTTTTTTTTAAAGTTAAAAAAAATAAAAATAATAACTCATACATATTTTTTAAATTTGATTCTAAAAATAAAAAAATAATTATAATTTTTATAAAAAAAAATTTATAAAATAAATCATACCAAACGATTTTATTTATTTATTTATTTTTAAAAATTAAAAAATTATTTTTAAAAACAGTAATCACACAAAAGCGAAATCTCTCGAGTTTCTATATCATTTGTACTGTGGTGTGCCTTTCTATGATGCTGTAAGGTCTTCGTTCAACTTTTACAACTCCATGTAAGGGACGATGCTCTCACGTGCTAGTCACATGTGTTTTTCATGCCCAAATTTCCCTCACGAGTCTTTCACGTGCTAGCATTTTACACAATTATTAATGTCACTGGACTAACACGTAATGATCCGAGTTGACGGTTTTATGATGAAGTGTTACAATTAGAAATTTAGGACACTGGTACACATTTAAATGTCACATAATTAAAGTGTACATAATAAAAGAATTGAAGTGGGTTTTTTTTTAACTTTTATCTTCTAATTAAAAAATAACTTATCCTTAAATAATAATCATATAAAAAGTTCCCCTTATGTGCAAAGTTCATGAAAGGTTTAGATTCATTGTCTGAGTATATAGAAGGTAGCCTTACCTTCCACTTGCAAAAAGTTTAATTACATAATATAAATTTGTAACGTGTTATTTGGTGCCACGACCAATTGTTGTGTCAAACAATGTTTGAATTAATGCATATTGGATGAAATGATGTGGTGTATTATAATGTTTGTAATATAGTTAAGTCTCTATCTAAAAGACTAAATTTATGAAACATTATAATTTGCAATACCTAACAAAGCTAAATATTGGTGGATAAAAAAATAACATGGGTATAAATAGCAGTAGTATAAATAAAAATGTTAAAATTGATGAGATATTACAAATATGAATAAAACACATAAAAAATAAATAAATAAATAAGAGAGTATAGATTGAAATAAAAGCTGAAACCTTTGTGCTTTAAGCTTCCATGAAGATTAGTTTCACCTTACCCCCAATTTAATAAAATTTTAAAATGATTTTTCTACAGAATCAGTTATTTATATTAAAAATTTAAGTGAATTAACTATTAAGATATATGAGAATATTTGTGAAGCATCGAATTTAAAACAAGTTTTCTGACAACACCAAAAAAAAAATCGTCTGATTTTTGTTTTCTTTTGATTTCCATTAAGAGATTTTCATGACCTCATGTGCAAATCACGAACAAAATAAACTAAAATGAGGAGACATATCATAGTAAGATTTAAAAAGACCAGATATTTACGTATTCGTGCTCCATCTAGAGATAAAAATATTAAAGAACACATTATTATACCTTGCACTCGAGATCAAGACTAAAAAAATATATGGTAAAAAGTACAATAAAAAAAATTGTAAACAATATTTACACGGTTATTTTTCTTAATTTTTTTATAAGAGTTCATTTTTTTTAATGAATGTAGATAAGTTATTTATAAGAGTTTTTTTTTTTAAAGAATGTAAATCAGTTATCTGCATAATTAGCTCTAAAACGACAATATTTTTGAGTTAAAATTAAAATATTTTTGTAATTTTAATTTATTTCAGTGTTATAATAATATTTATCATTATAATTTTTTAATCTTTTAATCTCAAAACTACGTCATCAGTACTAGAAAAGTCCAAATTTTCGACAGAAATTTTCGATGAAAATCATATTCTGTCGAAGATTTTTCACGGAAAAGGGATTCCGTCGATACCTATTTAATATTTGTGTTGCTACTTTTTGCTTATCAATAAAATGTGACAACCATTGGCAGCTTTTAATTAATATTCAATTTTATGCTTTTCTTTTTCAAGAAACTAGCTGTATTTTTTTTAACATAGTCTCTCTTTCACGCACCAACACACATGTTCACACACTATCATCACAAATTCCAATGACCTAGTTTCATTTCTAATGGTTTTCATCATATCATAACTTGCATGAAAAGGCCACTGTTTGAGTTAATAGATATTAAAGATTTAATTTTACCTAATTACATACTTACATATTAATTGCATTTATAAATTTCTCATGTATAATTAGGGTGCTGAATATTTGCAATCTTTCTATACATTTGAATATTTCAATATATTCATACATTTATGTTATTTTCATCCAAAATAGAATATTTAAGGATTCATTATGATGTGGTTTTATTATTCAAGCATTTCCCCCACCGTGGACATTTCCAGATTGGAAGATGATGCTCTTGATGAAGAACATGATCAGAGACGGAGAAAAAGGCCAAGGAGGGTTCAAGTTAAGGAAAGTCTTGACCAAGGAGGCTTCTGATCCTAAGTCTGCAAAACTTATCACTCTTAGGTTTGAGTACTTGGTGAAGTTGAATATTGTATGTGTTGGAATAGAAGGATTGTGTACAAAAAACATTAAGCGGTTATTGTTTCATTGAATTATGAAGTCAGTTTCGTATTGTGTATTGATATGTTAAATTTTATTTGTTAATTTTTAAGGTTATAATATATACTTATTGTACATCGTTAGCTAGTTGTATAAGTTTTTTTAATACTTGCCTAATACATGATATGGACTGTTGTGCATTTAATGTATTGATTAATGAGATTTATTTTGATTAAATTTTTTAATCAGGTGCAATATAGAAAATTGGTATTGATTATAGAGTGTAATTTTTTTTAAAAAAAAATCTAATATTTTTTGACGGAATTTATTTTCCGTCGAAAATCATTACAACAATTTTCGACGGAATTCCATTGATTTTCCGTCGAAAATTTTTGACGGAATCAATTTTTCGTCGAAAACCATTAAGACAATTTTCGACGGAATTTCATTGATTCTCCGTCGAAAATTTTCGATGAAATCTGTTTTTCGTCGAAAACCATTACAACAATTTTCGACGGAATTCCATTGTTTTTTCGTCGAAATTTTTTGACCGAATTAGTTTTCCGTCGAAAACCATTACAATAATTTTCGACGGAATTCCATTAATTTTCCGTCGAAAATTTTCAACGGAATTATTTTTCCGTCGAAAACCAATACAACTATTTTTGACGGAATTTCATTGTTTTTCCGTCGAAAATTTTTGTCGAAAATTTTCGACGGAATTTTAAATTCCGTCAAAAAATGTTATCAACGAAGAGAAATTCGACGACTTGAATTCCGTCGGAAAAATTCCGTCGAAAAACTTGACTTTTCTAGTAGTGTAACTTATTTGTATTCTGTAATCACTGTAGAAATATTTTTCTACTTTTATAATTATAGAAGATCAATTCATGTCAAGATAAGAATATTAAGTCTTACCTCCATTTTATTTATATATTCCACTGTTACCAATGAACTCATATCACAAATAAATTAGAGCGGTTTGATTTAAATGAGATCCTTGTCTATAATAACACTTGCAAAATAATTCTTCCCCTTCTTAATTACACATCTAGCACCTTTTGTTTAGATACCTAAATTATGGAGAGAAAAAAACTATAATGCATCATATGCATCGAAGATTTAGCATAGAAGATTCAGTATATTTGCTCAATTATTATATGACACATGAAAAAAAAAATTATATCATCTGAATTTTTTAGATAATTTGATATTTTTTACCATATATTATAAAATAAATAAATAAATATATTGACTAATGCACTCAAAATTTATTCATAGATTATAGAGAGAGAAAAAATGCTCATTTGGTGAGAATCATGGAATTTTGTTGGGTAGGATGTATAGGAGGAATATAATGAATAATAAATCGTGAATTTATAGCACATGCGTAAAAAAAGTGGAGTGTATCTTTCAAAAAAAGAAGGGTTTTAACTTTTCTTATGTTGTAGGATTGTAGGAGAGAAAAAAAGTAGAGAGAATTTAAATATGGGTCTCATATTTTATATTAAAAAAGAAAAAAAAATTATTTAACACGAAAAATGAATTTGTGTAGAAAAAATGAGAGTATCTTATATGGTATGAGAGTATTATTTCCCAAAAAAGAAAGTGGAGTGCATAAAAGTTTTGGTCAGGAATAAATTTAAAAAAGAAAAAAGAAAAAAAGATTTGGACCTGGACATGGACCGAGTCTGGCAATAAAGCATTGACCGACTTAGCAATAAGCAACTTTTATTAGTTTATTACTTTGATCAGTCAAAGTTTCTGGGCGCGTTGAACTTGTATAGTGGATACAAGTTATATGTACACTTGTATTTGATACACCTCCCCATACACTGAACTTTCCCACCCACCGCTTCACACACAAAACTGACACACTCTCTCTTTCTCTCTCTCTCCATCACGCTCACGTAACCCACGTTTTAACGTTCCCCACTTTCTAAGCAACATCATCTCCGCCACCTTTCCTTTCATATAAAAATCACTCTTCCTTATCCTCTCCCCTCACACAAACAAAAACAAAAACAAAAACAAACAACCCTTCAACTCATCTTTTCCTTCTTCTTCTTCTTTCAGCACCAACGCAACACAACACAACACGATTAGTTGAAAGGTAAAAGGTGATTTCTAATTCGAGATGGGTATGCTGAGCGATGAAGACCCTAATTCGAAACCAATCTTGATCCGTGAAGTGTGGGCCTCCAACCTTGAATCCGAATTTGAAATCATTCGTGAAGTCATCGACCGTTACCCTTTCATCTCCATGGACACCGAATTCCCCGGCGTTATCTTCCGTCCCCACGTGGGTCCCACAAAGCCTAACTACCTCAAACCCTCCGACCACTACCGATTCTTGAAGTCCAACGTTGACGCTCTCAACCTCATCCAGGTCGGTCTCACTCTCTCCGACGCCCACGGCAACCTCCCTCACCTAGGAACCTCTAACCGCTTCATCTGGGAATTCAACTTCAGCGACTTCGACGTCGAGCGTGACCCTCACGCGCCTGATTCCATCGATCTGCTCCGCCGTCAGGGGATGGACTTTCGCCGGAACGCTGCCGACGGCGTTGACTCGTCGCGGTTCGCTGAGTTGATGATGTCGTCGGGACTCGTCTGCAACGAGTCGGTGAGTTGGGTGACGTTTCACAGCGCGTATGATTTTGGGTACCTGGTGAAGATCCTGACCCGACGGAGCTTGCCCAACGGGTTGGAGGAATTCCTGAGGATGCTGAGGGTGTTTTTCGGAAACAACGTTTATGACATCAAACACATGATGCGGTTCTGTAACTCCCTTTACGGCGGTCTGGACCGGATTGCCCGGACCCTCAAGGTGGACCGGGCCGTTGGGAAATGCCACCAAGCCGGGTCTGACAGCTTGTTGACGTGGCATGCGTTTCAGAAAATGAGGGACATTTATTTCTTGAAGGATGGGCCCCAAAAACATGCCGGCGTATTGTTTGGATTGGAAATCACCTGTTCGGTTATTTGAAAAAAAATAAATTATATATAAATAAAAAATTCCATTGATTAATGATTATTTTATTTGTTGGTTAAATTATTCTCCTATAAATTAACAAAATGCTAAACTCAACTATCTTATTGTCTTTCCTCGTTTAAGAAATTAAAATCTCAAAATGCATGCCGTCAATTGTTTCTTCGATATGAAGAGAGGTCTATTTAACAATAGATTAAAAATATGTCAAATTAGCATACCAAATTAACATTAATGTTATTTTACACACAAGTTTTTTCATTCTTTTCGTTGAGAACCCTCTGCGAATTTTGCGGTGTACAATTAATATTTTTGCAAAAGAAATTGTACTAAATTCTAAGTTTCAACGCAGATGTGGCCCATGGTATAATTTCGTTTAATTGCAAGTAAGTCCTTTTTGTCACAAAAGCTGTGTACTATGTCTTTGCTACGTTATTCAATATTACAATGCATGATTGCGTACAAAGTGTGGGTCTGTACGTGCAGTTGCAGGTTGCTTCTGTGTTTTATAATTTAGATTCTTTACTTTTTTGTGAAATTAAATAGGAAAATGTAGAAAAGAAGTAAAGATCGAAACCATTGGCTTCATTTTCATAATTTTCCTTTTTTAATAAAGATAAGTCCCAACTCCCAACAGAGCATCTGTATCCAAGACAGAATAAAATTTTAGTATTACGCACGGAGTACTTAATGCGATGTTATTATTATAATTATTTATTTTAAAGAATATATAATTATAATATTAAAAAAATTCAAAAATTTATCGGTTGACATGAAGTAAATTTTTTTGTTTTTTATAAACAAAAGGCTAAGTCACAAAAAAAAAACATAAAAAAAATCTAATTATTGCAACTCAAAACATTAGGTCTCCCAAGTCCCAACAACAATAATCAGGAGCTAATCAGCTGCACACGAATTACCATTCCTCAAAATATGCCTGAAAATCACATATCAGATTTTTATCAATCAATGTCCATATGCGAAAAATTAAACGATTCTCACATACTGTTGCACCATTTTTAATGAACACAACGATCACCCGTTCCAAAAAAAAAATACAATAATCACACTAATTGAATCAGTTTCAATAATAACATGAAATTCATAGTTATAATAATAGCATCCCACTAAGTATTTAGTGGGATAGTAGTACTAAAGTTTTATTTCCAATGCAGTCCCGAGAAGTGTGGAATACTTTTTTTAATAAAGTTTTTGAGATTAATTGAATAAATTACAAATTTAGGTTAGGATTATATTTTGAATAATATTAGTCACAATTAAATTGAGTTCTATTTCATTGCTATATTATGAGGAGAGGATGCAGGTATATATTTCTGACGGTGCAAAAGTAGACGATGGGGAAAAAGAAAGAAGGAATTAATGGAAAATAGATCCTAAAATAATAATATTTTAATTAGAAGTCCAATAAAATGAGCTTGTATAGTCAGTCCAACTGTCCAAATAGAAACTATTGTGATTTTATATATCGGAGCAAATTTAGAGTATCCTTCTGAGTTGTGTAACATATTCCGAATAGAGAGAAAGAAAGCAAAGAAAGCGAACCGTATGTGCTGGTGGCGGAAATGGATCATATGTAATTTAATATGGTTATGTCATATAAGAGGATATTAATTATTAATAATCAAATTAATGGTGATGATTGTATAACTTCCTATTTATATATTTTTTTTCTCTCTTTCCTTATTACTATTAATATATTCTTATACTATTACAATTACCTTATATGACATGATCATATTAATTAACATATGAGAGAATTCACTTTCTCTAACAGAACAGGTTGGCATATATAAACAGAGATATAAATATTAATTACTTGAATCTCTTATGCGCAAGTTCTCCGTTAAATAAATATAGGAAGTTATACAATCATCACCATTAATTTGATTATTAATAATTAATATCTTCTTATATGACATGATCATATTAATTAACATATGAGAAAATTCATTTTCTCTAACGGGACATGTTGACATATATAAACAAGAGATATAAATATTAAGTACTTGAATCTCTTATGCGCAAGTTCCCCGTTAAAGTGCAAGTTTGAACATAGAAAGAAGGTAATCATCTTGAGTTGGGATTCTTGGAAGTATTATGAAATTATAAGACCCACAACACAAGTTGAATCAGTCGCCAATTAAACATTTTACAGGATCTAAACACGAGTCAAAGTCCTCCCACTACTTTCCAATTATCAGGTAGAAATGGAATCCGAGCATAATTGTTGAGCATATAAAAAACATTTTACGTAAAATTTATTAATATTTTAATGATATTAATGTAAATTATTTTTTAATATAAAATTATTTATTAAACGATGGTATTGGAATATTAATAAACACATCAATATAAATTAAATGTAATTGTTTTTTTTATTTTAATTTTCTCAACTTAAACTATAAAAGTTCACGTTAATAAAATCCTTTACATATATTGATGTCTGTGGTGCCACCGCTTGAATAAGGCATGAACGTAGCCCGCATGGGACCGTTATTCATTGGCACGGTCTTCCATGACTGCTTGACTTAATTAAAAAATAATACTCATAATTTTGTAATAACATTTTATATATAATGGGTTTTATATATGGATTTTATAATTTTCATTCAACATAAGAATTAAAATTTTCCTACACACCCTTCGATTTCCGTGCTGACATGGGTTCTACATATAATTTTTCTAACACATGGGTCTCACATGCTTTTTATCTCTACAATATGAGAATTGAATTCTCATTTAACATGAAAAAATCAAACCCCTTTATATATATTATGTTGTAGGATATTTTAGTGTTATGTTATTCTAATATATCTGATGTGGGTCTACTCAAAAAGAAAAAAAAAATAAGATGGGGTCATTTTTTTTGTGAGAGTAACATTACTTTACAAATATCCTACAACATGATATATATAAAATCCATATGTAATATACGGTACATTTAAATTATACCACCGTTCAACGTTGGTGGTGTCGTTGCTGTTCCAACGAGGAGTAATTTTGACACTGTACTCCGTGGACAATATGACGGAAGGAGATTAAATGGGAACAGTGGTTAAAGTGTCACTCTTGGTAAAAATATATATTAAAATATCACGCTAACAGTAAATTTTGCCAAAATATCACGTGGCATATTTTGCCACACCGTGTAGCGAATTATTTTGCAAATAATTCGCTACACGGTATAGCGAAATATGTCGCGTCAAAATGCACAGAACCAAAAATGTCACGTGTCAGACAGGGAGAATTTCGCTACACGGTGTAGTGAAATTCTCCCTGTCTGACACGTGACATTTTTGGTTCTGACGTGACATATTTTGCTACACCGTGTAGCGAATTATTTGCACACATATTTCGCTACACAATGTAGCGAAATATGTCACGTGGCATTTTAGCAAAATTTACTGTTGACGTGATATTTTGATATATTTTTTTTGCCAACAATGACACTTTGGCCACTGTTCCGATTAAATGAAAATATCTTATAAAAAAAATTATACTCTTTCAATTTTTCTCCTTTTCATATAATGCTTTCAATTTGTTCCACCTTAATTTTTCTTAACTTTGGTTAAGTTAAAAACGTTCTTTTTAATTTACTGTATAATTTATCGTTTATTTTAAGTATTATTTGAGGTAAAGGTCAGGAAATTAATTATCGAAAACAACTCAAGTTTTGTTGTCGGCTGTCGTATTACTTACTATGCATGATGGTCAAAAAATTTGTGAGTTATCTTTAATGACTCGGACTGGAGCAATACGTAATTAGCAGGTTAACTATATTCACATGTTGAGGGAGGCCAATTGTTGTGCCGACTACTTGACGAACTTCCGGCTTGACCGCCCACGACTTAGGGGTTGTTAGTTGATGCGCTTTCTTTTTCTTTTACTTTTTAGCTTTTCTTAATGTATAAAAAAAATACTTTATGAATTGAGATGATAATTTATTCTACTCATAACCATTTCTAAAATGAAAAAAAATTAACGAATAAGTTGAAAAAAAATTAAAAAATATTACTCTGTCATTGTTTTACCTAAAAAGATTGAAACTATACGTTGGCAATTTATAATTATTTTTTCCTTTTTTTCTCTTGCCTATTGAACGATTTAAGAAAACATGAAATTTATTACGCCACAGGGCCAGTTGGCCCAATTCGGAAGTGTTGGTGTGGGCTCTGAACAGGAACGATCTTGACCCAATTAGAAGTCTACATGTCTGAGGTTGGATCCTATGGAGCACCTGCTCATCTTACTACATGTTTTAAATGTGACTGCACTGAGGGATCATCTCCTATCTAGGCTAGGTCTCCGAGATCTGCATAAACAATTTCAAATATAATAATATTATTTAAAAAATTTCTATAAAAATAATATGAAATTTCCCATAATATATTGCTGTTGAAATATGAAGTATTTACCTGTACACAATCCTTCGGGTGAAGAAAAGGAAAAAAAGAACTTCATGTTTCGCAATTAAGGATATTCAACCACTGCTGAGTATAGATTACTAAAATAGAGAAGTTCAATAATTTTTTTTTAATATTTTAAAAACATAAATATCTAATAATACTTTTTATTTATTAATTAGAAATATTTAATGAGTAATATATGTTTTCTAATGTGTGTCAGACGGTCAGTTGACAACATCCTCGTTATATTATGAGTTTTGTTAATTTTATAAGGGTTCATCTAATGGACAGAGCATAATAAGGATGAATAAATAAATAATATGAAATAATATGGGTTATAAAATAAATAAAAATATCCTTTATAATATAATTTTTTAGAATTAATTTAAAATATTTTTTTCCTTTAACTTATTATATATTAATTTTTAATTTAAATATTAAAAAATTTCTAAAGTCATAATTTTAAACTTTTAAAACTTATTATATACTAAAATAATAAATTATATCTTCATCCAATTAATAAACTTTTAAAACTGTTTTAAATTAATTATAATGGGCCTAGTGGTTGAT